GTCCACTCTAATGACAACCACACATTCATTCCTGCCAATTCGAATGAGTTTGTTTATAGAACGGATACGTCTCCTGGATAACTCACTAAGAAGAATCATGCCTTCAATATTGTTATATTCCAGCAAACTGACATAGGCTCCCATTTCAGCAATGGACCTCACGTTCACCATCACTACATCTTCCACTTCAGGAAATTTGTGTTGATAAAATCTACAACTTAGACCTGGCATTCTGCAATGCAAACAAAAGAATCAGATTAAGTGTCTAGTTATGGTGAAAATAGAGAAATGCCAGTTTTTTATATCTTGCCACTGAAAGAACACAAAAGAAAATGCAACCATAAGTCTTCTCTTTAAAGTTCCTAAATGGTATCATGAAATAGGTGAATATCCAGGAAGCAAGTTTTAATTTATTTTGCTTCATATTCTTTAAGGCTTGCCATCAGGCCTTTGCTACCAGTTTCAGAGGAATAGTAAAAAATAATGACCATCTATAAAGTACTCTAAGAACTAAGGATTAAAGGAATACCTCAAAAGTAAAACACCACTTAAATCCCACCACTGTAAGAAATGCCAGATGATGGGAAGCATCATACTGTCATAAACCTTTCACAAAATCAAACCTACTCTTTTCTCCAAGTCAGCTAAGATGACATGTTACCCCTCCCCTCGCCATGTGAAGAATCCTCTGACTACTCAAACCTCAACGAGTACAACAATTTTTTTAAATTTTAATTTTTTGTGGAGTTAGGGGTCGAACCCAGGGTCTAGGGCATTTTAGGTAAGTAATCTATAGCTCTATTTTTATTTTGTTGAGTGGGTATATATAATCTTGAAAACAGCTTTATAAATCCTCACTTTTAAAGAGTTCAAACTTCTCTTAACCTCCAAGTATTAAAGATATTTAAAATTATTCCCTCTGATATACCTAAACTATGTGAGAACACCTCTTTTATGACCCATAAACTGGAAATCATACCATGCATAGATGTATATTTTTAAAAGGAAGTACTCACACTAATCATGGCTGATGATTTTCACATTCTTCTATTAATTTTAACATATTTACTGTTGTTAAAGGTCAGAAGACAGAACTTAAAGGCAGTGACAGAGTTGGGTGTAGTGGTACACTCCTGTAATCTCAGCACAGGAGGCTGAGGCAGGAGGATTGCTGACAGTTGAAGCCAGCCTGTGCTACACAGTGAGTTCAAGGCCAGCCTAAACTGCAAAGCAAGACCCTGTCTCAAAAAAAAAAAAAAAACCAAAACCAAAACCAAACCAAAAAAAAAAAAAAAAAAAAAGCAATGACAGGACCTAAAAGTCGAAGAAAAAATTGGGATGTTAAGGTTGCCAATATCTGACCTTAGAAATAGATCATCTATACTGGGTACAGTGGCACATACCTGTAATTCCAGCACTGGGAGAGGCTAAGACAGGGGGATTGCAAGTCTGAGTTCTGAACAGGCAACTCAGAGAGACCTTGTCTCAAAGTAAAGTAAAATGGACTAGTGACACTGCTTAGTGGTAGAATACTCCTGGGTTTCATTCCCACTATTGGAGAGGGGGTTGACTATATATCTAACATGTGGAACACCAGAATTCTGTTGAAGTGCAGCTTAAGGACTCCTATTTGGCACCCATATACAGCTTTGCCCAACAGGAAGATAAATGCAGGACTTAATACTTCTTTTAACTAAGAGCCCTGTATGACCTGGTCACTTCCTGTTTCCTTCAGAAGTCACTTTCTTTCTAGATCTCCCCATTTTATAAATAAATTGAGGCACAGGTTAAGCAACTTGCCCTTTCATATACTGATACCCATCAAGTTTGGATCCAAAATCTTTGCTCACATATCAGGATCTTTCCCCCTCAATATTAACTATACATGTTACAATCAGAAATACAAAAAGCAACATTAGTATACATTTTCAGCACTGATGTACATACCATGAATTTGTGCAAACTGTTACTTATTCATTTATCCTGTTTAATAAAAAGCAATATATGTGGTAGAGATTGCTCTTGTAGCTTGACAAAATAGGGATTCAGCAAAGGGAATTCAATGGCTAGAATTACATACTAAGAGAAAGCTGAGCTGGTTGTTTTACTTTTCAACAGGGCTTTATCAGGGGTAGGACAGCAACTGTTGTCAAATATCTGAATATATAGTACTTGTATTTGAGAGTTAAAAAAGTTCGAAACTGGGTAGCAAAATAAGTCATGTCATGAACATGAGTGGAAGAGTTTTAGGAGATTTAACAGATGCCATCCATATTTAATTACTGAGTTTCTTCAAATAGCAAAGGTGATGCTTTTGGGGAGGCAAGGTTGAGTTTGACATTTAAAGAACAGAGAAACAGTGTAAGAAGGCGCCTGAAAGGAGACATGAATACTACTTTTTTGCACAGGTCTTTTTGCAATAAGGAAATAATGGAAAAATGCTGATAGTACACTACTCAGAGTAAAGATAGAAAGTATTCAGTAACTACAAAAGAATCCCTATCAGAAACAATCTGCATACTGGCTGATAGATTTTGACTGTATCACCTTAAAAATACAAGTAACACTTAAAAAATAACTTTAACTTTTTGTCCTGTTTTTCTTAGTTAGGAAAACAGAAACCACCCTGGATTTATCCAGTCCTTTCTATCATTTTCACAGCATTTGTATTTGACCCTCAAGAGCTGAGTGAGGAAAGTAGCATGGTGAACTCTAGGAACTTGGGTTCCAGGCTTTGCCCTCCTACTTAGAAAGGAGAAAGCTGCTTGGGAAAGGCATCCTCTTTGAACTCTGGATTCTAGTCTGTGCTGTGTATCTCCCAAGGTTTGTTGAGGGTATCAAATAAAATAAAATATATGTAAAAACATTTTATGCCACACAAACATATTTTTAATTAAACAACTTTTCAGTATCTGCTATGTTCTAAGTACTGCCGAAACAGGTTTTTACCCAAGGAATTAAGTATAGAGCAGAAAAAAAATAGTAAATAATTACAATATATGAAAGAAGCACAGTGAAGCAATCAATTAGCAGGGCACCAAGAAACAAATATTAAATAACTTGCTCAAGCAAAAATGCTTAACAAGTACTAAAGTAGGAGCTAAACTCAAGTCTTCTGATATTAAACTTGACAGTCTTTTACACAGACTGCCAGTACTGCAGAGTACTCAAGATTAAGAAACTAATATTGTTATGTGTTCAATGTAAAAATTAACTATCTTTGCAGATATTAACCAAACTTCAACCTAATATCAAGACCTTGCATTGTCAATTTGCAGATCCAAGGAGAACTATACCAGTGCATAGTCAAGCCACATAATGGATACAGGAAGTCCACATTCCTTTCCAAACAGCATTATGTGTTGGGAAAAGTCGTTGAGCTGTAAGCTTACTAGTAGTGTTGTTTGAAAGCTAATTCCTGGGTTTGGTGTGCTATGCAAATGAAAATTTTAAACTATTCACAGTGGCTGAAATAGGAATTACCACCAAATCTCTACAGACGTTATCATGTATCAGGCAACTACATCTTTTGGGAATTAGCAGCTATCATCTGGCATCACATAGAACTAAGAAGAGACTGTAAAAATTCTATCTAAGTAACTCCCAAACTTTTGAAAAACAGATTTGAGTTTCATTCTTAAACCAACAACTCACTCTGGAGAAAAATAGACTTCTCTGCTATACTCCTAACCAAGAAACAATAATGAGAATTAAAGCTGCCTAAGTTTTGGGATCTCAGGATGTATACACATTTAACTCCTAGTTGGACATAATTTGACACCACGATTGTAGTCTCATCATAGCCAAAATGCAAATCGATATTAACAGTAGTAAACTCAGTGGGACATTTAATTTACAATTCAAAGGCTGCCTCAGTCTACAGAAACTAGAGCATTAAAGCAACCTGAACTTCAAATTTAATGATCAGTTATTATTCTTGAACTGACTCTTTGCAACAAGGTGTGGCCCACCCTGCTTGGTTCCCTGTGGAGAAAAGTACAGTCTGACTTCCACCGAGAATCAACACGAAACATTCTGGTGGCAATGTGGGGCGGAAGAAAAAAATTCTCGGGGACAGAAAAAGTCCATTGCTCCGCTTCCGGGCCAGGGACGGTGTCCCAGCGATCTCCCGAGGCCTTCCCACCTCAAGGCTCCTCTCCTACACCCCAAAGTGGTTGTAAAACCCGCCAGGCCCGCTTTCCCTCACGATGGTACTCCGCTCTTTCAGTGATGCCTGTGGCACCCCGGAGGCCAGTGACAGAACAAGCGGCAGCAGTGGCGTCCACAGACACTTCCCGCCCAGCCCTGGGAAAGGGAGGGAATATTCGCCGGGGCCTACCCTCTCTCGAACCCCTGTCACTGGACAGAAACTAAAGTTAGTTCTTGGGAAAACCGAGCTGCGGGATTAATCACCTGAGGTATGTGTGTGACTCTCGCACTAGAGTCCCGCGCCGTGATCTTAAAGCAGAGCGATCAGACTCGTTCCACTCACACCAGCTACCGAGCCTTTTCGGCGTGCGTTTCGCTCAACCCCACCGCGCAGGCGGAACCGCTTTACACTGCGCATGCGCTGACCAAGAGGGCCTCTCCTTATCACTAACCATAGAGTCCGAGTCCTCCAAGAATTAGAAAGAGTGCCAATTGCAGGAAGGCATGTCAAAGACATTTTCTCACTATCCTAATATTTTGCTAATTAACCTTCAAGGCATGGGTAAGAGGCAGGACTCTTGATTCTCTACTCCTCAAGAATAAATTCTTTCAAATTTTTAGTTAACCATAAGATGGCGCTGTGAAAGAATAAAATGGAGGAAGAAAAGGAACGGACTTTTTTTTCCCAGTCGTCCAACGCGTGCAGTGATTTGCGCAGCCGTAAATGGGAGGGCGGAGGAAGAGGAGGAAAGGTGGCGAGGGAGGGATGGAAGCGAACCGGAACTCCGCGGTGCGTGCTCCTCAACATCCGGGCATCGCCTTCGTCCAGCCCTCTTGCTCCGCAGTGACAGCAGGAAGCGGAAGTGAGAAGTGGGTGTCCCTGCAGCTTCTTAGCAACGCGCGGTCAAGTGACACAATCAGCTGACTCCGGTAGAGGAAGGGACTGTAAGCGGCCAGTATTGGAGCTGTTGTAGCCAAGATTGCTCGGTCAGGGGCCCGAGCTGAACGGTCATCGTCAGAATGTCGGGCAAAGACCGGATTGAAATCTTCCCCTCGCGAATGTAAGTAGAAGTGGCGCTCGTAGTTTCAGGAATGCCTGCCTGGAGCACGATTCCTCCACGCTGGGGACCACGAGCGAGACTCCTAGTTTCCTGGGCTGATGCCGAATTCTCCCTAGGGACTTTTCATGAGTTCGAGGCCAGGATTCCTTTCGCTGGTTCACAGGTTCCTGCAGCGTGAATCAGACTGCACAGAGCGGTCCCAGCCCAGAGGAAAAGACTCCCGGCCTGTTGGTGTCTGTAAAGGTCTGCTGTCCTTACTCGTTAATCGGGTTCTTCACGGAGCCCATGATTCAGTGATGAAAGAGAAAAGCCAATAAGATTTCTTTACTGCTTTGGGAGGGGAAGTTTGCTGCTATGGGAAGCAAATAAAAGATCCATTAGTCAAAAGAGGAATTGAACTAGGTTATTGTAGTATGGACGCCGGAGTCCCCTATTTTCCAAGATCCCATCAAATGTCACCTGCTGTTGGGAGATATCCGTGCGTTTCTAAAGCACTCCTTTTGCACTGTCACCACTACACCTTTTTAAGATCTCTGTTATCCCTCATCACATCATAGATATTTATTGAATATCTTTCCTTCCCACCAGTCTCCGGCCTCCTCCAGGATGAGAGCATCTTGATTATTAATCTCTAGAATATCCACAAAGAATGTTTCTTGACAGAACTCATGTCTTGGAGTCTGCTCAGTTGCGGGCTGCCTTTCTCTTTTGGCCTGAACTCTGTCAGGAGAAATGATAGCGGCATAGTGGCCAGTTTGTAAAGAAAACTTTGAAGTTTTTTCAGATGTGCTTAACAATTTATGAGAGTGGTGGGTGTGACAGTGCACATCTGTAATCCCAGCATGGGGGAGGCTGAGGCAGGAGGACTGCCGTGAATTCAGTGAACACAGTGGGTTCAAGGCATAAAGGCACTTCTTTGTTATTGTTTATTTTTGACATTTTTGAGGCAGTTTGTTTTGCAGTTTAGGTTGGCCTTGAACTCATTTTGTAGCCCAGGACGGCACTGAACTCTGGGTAATCCTTCTGCCTCAGCTTTCCCACTACTAGGATTACAGATGTGCATCACCACTCCTGGTTCACAGACTTTCCTACCACTGATTGTTCTGCAAGCTATTTTTGGGAAAGGAGGAAATCCATGAAATAGATCAGGGCCACCCTGAGAGATTGCAGAACTCTCAGCACATAGCGACTCTTTCTAAACTTACAGTGACAAACAGTCAAATTCTAACATGGCTTCTGGCAGCACAAGGCCATGTCCCCAGGATAACTCAGTCCCTGGTACCACATAAATACATAAATAAAAATATGCACTGCAAAAATAAATAAGAAAAATGTCTGTGTGGAAAAACCTGGAAACTACCAGAAGAATTAAATATTTGTTCTGTCCAGTACAGGATTAATGGATCCCTGACCTCCCAGTCTTAGAGCCCTAAAAAAGGCTTACAGCTGTGAATGAGTACCCCTTAAAACTCGGCAGTGTGGCTTTCAAGGGCCTGAGAGTCCTCTGGGAAGAGGATCCTGATTTCTGAGACTGCCTGCGAGCAAATACACCTCATCTAGTTGTACTCCCACTGACCACCCCTTTGTAAGTTTTCCTGTTGCTGACTGCACTTGAGGCCCACTCCTTCACTCTGTTTGTAAAACACCCAAACCTCTACCCACCTGCAAGTGGAGCTCAGCTCACTGTCCCCCTGTCAGTTGTTACTGGGGAAAATCTCTTTCCATTGTTTTAACTAATGTTTGGCTGTGTTTATCTGCCACAGTAGTCAGAATGTCAACATGTTTTTGTTTTTGTCTGGGAACTTTTGAGACTAGGATGTGAAAACAGACTTTGGGCTTAGACAAGAAATGATAGGTTTGTGAAGGTGAAAATTGCCATTTGAGAGCTCTCCGCATGCTGACTGAGAGGAAAATCAGGTGTTGGAAATATTTTCCCCAAGGCCCAACAGCAGGCTCTTTGTCATGTAGTCAGATGTCTTTGATTCAGCTAGAAACAGTCTTGTGAAGGTCAGACCTTTTTTGGTAGGGAAAAGCAGCTCTGAAACAAGTAAAATGAGGATTTAAAAGTGTTAAAGCCAGGGCATGGTAGTGCATACCTGTAATCCCAGCACTCGGGAGGCTGAGGTAGGAGAATTGCAGTGAGTTCGAGGCCACCCTGGGCTACACACTGAGTTCTAGGCCAGCCTGAAACACATAGCGAAACCTAGTCACAAACAAAACAAAATAAAACAAAAAAACCACATTTCACAGAAGTGTTATCTTAGATGAAATTAAAAGTAAATATGGTTTTATCAATCTGTTAACCTGTGTACACTAAACTTGCTGAAGTCTGCATTAATAGAATTTTACCTAAATTTGACCCAACTCCGAGTCCACCTTCAGGTATGTATTGTCAACACGTGGTGTGTTATGGGTACACAGTTGGGCTGGGTAGCTCCTGCTCAGGCTCAGCTGAAACAGCTTCCCTGTGTGGGGCTGTCTTCAGCATAGGCTTGGGTGACGGTGGACTTAGCTTTAAGTTGTGGTTGGAGCTTTGGGCAGGTTATAGTCAAATCTGGTTCAGATTCCTCCCCTGCCTTTTCTTCACTGAATAACTGAGAAACTTCATTTACTTTTCTGGGCTTCAGTTTGCTAGTTTCCTTTTTTTTCTTTTTTTAAGTGGTACTGAGGATTGAGCCCATGTCCTTTCTACAGAGTTTGCAATCCTCCTGCCTCAGCTGTATGTGCACCCATCACCATTCTCATTTCCCTAGTGTTTATGTCTAAATCCCTTTCAGCTGTGGAACTGTCTTAGTTAACATAAAAGATTTCAGTATTACATACGTATTTAAGAATTTAGTCCAAAGATTTACTAATAGGTGCTGTTTTGCAGCTCATTATAACACTATCATGAAATTATATCTGCCTAAATCACTGTAAATGTCTAAATCGTGTATAATTTATTGATGAATTTTATTATTAGAGTACTTTTCTTAGTTATTAAACTTTACCTGGCAGGTGGCAGTGAGAACAGAAATAGCAGCTTTTGCTATTCCCTGTTGCTCCCTGTGCCTTGTGTGGGGGCACAGGGCTTGTGGGGATGAGCTGGAGAGAGCCCTTACCCAGCATGCACTGGGCCCCAGGCTCAGTCCCCACAGTGCAAAAAATAAAGCAAACAGAAAAAACCTTGGAACACGGCTTCTTTTTTAGAGGGTTTTTTTGTTTTTTTTTTTTTTTTTTTTTTTTTGAGAGAGAGAGAGACAAGCCCTTATTCTGTAATTCATGTTTGCTCTGAACTCACTATGTAGCCCAGCTTGGCTTCTAACTCACTGCAGTCCTCCTGGCTGGGCCTCCTGAGTGCTGGGATGACAGGTATACACCCCCATCTCCAGCTGGAATGATGCTTCCCATGGGGGAAATGCTGAAATAAGTCTTCACTGTAAGTTTAGCTTGTCACTTTGGAGACTTCTGTATGCCACTTATTACCTAGAATCATTTACAGAATGATTCTGCAATTGATATTAGGTATTGATTATCACCAAAACACTTAAATGCCACACTGGTTATACAAGATATAATAAAATGCAAAAAGTGCAAAAGACTATAATAGTAAAAAGCCATTTTTGCACTCAGCCCTGTTTCTGTGAGTCCTTTGTAGACCTCTTCTCTGTATTTATGTGAGCACAGCAATTCCTTACTTTGGGTAAGTAAGGCAGTGTAATGTAGGAAGCACACATAGGCCAACTTTCCTCATTTTTTATGACTGAATATGATTCCATTTTATGGTGATCCATGGTTTATGTAATACATTAGTTATTTCTGCCCTTTTGCTGGCACAAATAAGGCTGGAATGTGTACACATGTGGGATAAATTTATAGGAACAATTCCTCAAAGTGGAATTGCTGGTAAGGAAGGAATTACATTTCAGTTTTTTGTTTGCTGTGTTGCGCATTGAACCTGGAGCCTTGTGCATGCTAGACAAGCTCGCTCCTACTAAGCTAATCCCTCTGCGCCCAAATTTTGGTATATATTAGTGGATAGATTATTTTTATCCTTACTACTACATTTCTAATGTCTAAAACATTCCATACTACTTTTACATACAAACCAATAAGAATTTATACTAGCATAAATTACGGCTCCTCATAATTATTTAATGACGGCTTACTCCAGCATTGATTCTAGAACAGTGTTGTAAGTAAATGAACTCATTTATGGAAGACTGAAGTAGAAATCTGTATACTGGGAAGCCAGTTTAACTCGTCAGCTACAAATCCCATACTTTCTTACCGTTGTTTGAGAGGATCAGGAACAATCTTCACACCAAGGACAGAGGCGCTTCCTGTCGTGAGCTGTGGCAGTAAGCTCTTTGACGTTGCTTCTCTAGGGCGCAGACCATCATGAAGGCCCGCTTGAAAGGAGCGCAGACAGGCCGGAACCTCCTAAAGAAGAAGTCTGACGCCTTAACGCTTCGCTTTCGACAGATCCTGAAGAAGATCATTGAGGTAGGATCAGCTTTGTTGCATGCAGTGTTTAGTTTATGTATTCATAAAATAAGGAAAATTCAGTGTGGTCTTGGCCTTTTTTTTATTTTCAGTCCTGGGATTGAACCCAGGGCTGTGCATGTGCTAAGTCCATGTTCTGCTGCAGGACTACAGCCCCAGCTCCTAATTTTTCATTCTTTTTTTTTTTTTTTTTTTTTTTTTTTTTTTTTGTCTTTTTCCTTTTTATTGAACTCACGACTGCCTGCTTGCAAGGCAGGTGATTATGCCACTGAGCTAAATCCCCAGCCCCTTAATTTTTCATTCTTTTAATTGATTTTTCTTTCAAAAGTAACAGTATTATTATAACAAGCACAACACTGGACTTGCCCATCAAGATTTTAAGTTTCAGCTAGTTTCATTAAGAAAACCCCAGCTGCCTACCTGCAGAGCCTCGGAACCAGACACGCCCTGGCCCTGGCTGCCTCCCTGGGCTCCCAGAAGCTTCCTGCTGTCCTCCAGGCCCTTCCCACTGGCTCTTTCTTCTGCCTAAATGCTCCTTCCCCAGACACTTGCCACCAGCTCCTCTGGCCACTGCTGACCCCCGTGTGGAGTGGCCTCAGTTTTACTCCTGTCACCCTCTTATTTTACCTTTATTGTAGCAGGCGCGACTGCACGCTGTTTTCCTGGTTACTTCCCCGACTAGGAAATGTGCCTCCCGGAGAACAGGAGCTTCATCTCCTCAGCACTGTATTTCCAGGGCCTGGAGTAGAACTGTCACCCAGGCTGGCCTCGAGCTTGCTGTATAGCCCAAAATGGGCTTGAATTCACAGTTCTTCTGACTCAGCCTTCCGATTACTAGCTTTACAGGCAGGTGCCACCACACCCCCTTTCTTAGTCGATTTTAACTCAGTGCTTTTTTCAGTAATGACATGTGAGTACAGAATTACATTAAAAAAGCAAAGGTTCTTTTCCTCTGTCTCTTTTATCTTTCTCTGGTGATCCTTCTCTTATTTCCTAGAGGTAGTTCCTCATGATACTTGGGCTTATGGCCTTTGAGCCTCCCTTTTTGGTAGTGTGTACAAAAAGCACTGCATTTGTAAAGCATTCACCGGAGTATTAATGTACACCTGGGTGTTTCTTAGTAGTAATAAACATACGTAAACTTCTGTACCACTTCCTGCCCTGCTCCTCTCTCCCTCCTTTCCTATGACAGAACAAAGATGGCTTTCTACATCCATATGTGAAGGTTTGTCCCATTCTTTCTCGTCTCTGTGTTGTACTCCTCCATGTGGACAATGGAGTTTTGCTGTACTTCTGTTGATGAATGGCCAGTCTTAACGATTTTTGTAGGGGGAAGCTCTTAAATGCTTTGTGTATATGTGCTAACGTTTCTCTAAGAGAATCTTACAGTCTGATCTCTTGATCCAAGGTGATATATAGATATAAATTTTATCTATGTCCTATAAAGACATATAGATACATATATATAAAGTCCTAGGGATTGAACACACAGGTGCTGTACCACTGAGCATAGCCATAGCCCTTTGTATTTTATTTTTGGTTTTTTTGAGACAGGGTCTCCCTATGTAGGTGAGTCTGTTCTTGAATCCACTGTGTGGTCCAGGCCAGCCTCAACTTATTTAATTTAATTTATTTATTACTTATTTTTGTCTTTTTGAAATAAGGTCTTGCTATACAGCTCAGGCTGGCCTTGAGCTCATTTGTAGTCTAGGCTGGTCTCAAACTTGTGAAGATCCTTCTGCCTCAACTCCCTGGTGCTGGGATTATAGGCGTGCACCATCACGCCGCTAGTTTATATTTTTAAAAAACTTTTTGATTGCCATGAAGGCACACACCTGTAATCCCAGCACTCAGGATGCTAAGGCAGGAGGATCACCATGAGTTGGAGGCCAACCTGGGCTATGTAGTGAGTTCTAAGTGAGCCTGGACTATGTAGTGAGACCCTGTCTCAGAAAACCAGAAATAAATAAATACAGACATATCCAAAGTTTTGATAAATTAGCTAGGCTGGCCTCAACTGCAATCCTCCTGCCTCTGTTTCCTGAGTACTTGGGATTACAGGTATATACCACCATGCCCACATGTTTTTTATTAACCGAAGAATTGTCCTCCAAATTATCATATTAATTTGTGTTCCTTCCAAATTAATTCACCCGGAGCTATTGCTTAATTTTTGGTCAAATAAAAATAGCTTTATCCTGTTGTTTGAGACAGGATCTATCTCCCTGTCCAACCCAGTCAGGCTTTAGACTAGATAGCCTAGGCTAATGCTGAGCTCAAAATCCTCCTGCCTCAGCCTTCTGAGTACTGGAAATTGTTTAGAGACAAGAGTCTCATTGTGTTGCCCAGGCTGGCTCAAATTCCTGAACTCAGTGATTATTTTGTCTTAGTTTCCTGAGTGGCTAGAGCCACTCACTGAGCTTATAGGGTTTTTTTTTTTTGTACTAGGAATCGAACTCAGGATCTTGTGCTTGCCAGGCTGGCACCATGCTGCTGAACTGTATCCCTGCCCCCCTTTTTAAGTCTTTCTCTTAACATGTTTCTTTGTATGGGCATAATGCTGTGAGGTAGGAATTCAGCATTATCATTTTGTAAATGGGTGGACAGTTGAATAGTCCCTTTACTGTACTAAATTCCCATATGGACCTGCGCTGCTTTCTAGGGTTTTGGTTTTGGTTTGGTTTGGTTTGGTTTTTTGAGACAGGGTCTTGCTATGTTGCTCAAGTTGGCCTGATCTTACTATGTGGCATAGGCTGGCCTTGAACTTGAGGTAATTGTCCTGCTTCAGCCTTCTGAATACTGTGATTATAGGTGTGTACTACCGTGCCAGGCTGTGGGCTTCTCTCTGGACCTTTGTTTCTTATCTATCCTAAACTAGATGTGTTTCCCTTTTGTAGCTGTGGTTTTTTTAATATTTGATAAGCCAACTCCTAACCACCTGACTCAATTTTTCTTTCTTTTTTTTTAAAGATTGGATATTCTTAAGCATTGCATTTTCTAGCTGTGCTTTAGCATTATTATGCCATTAGAATTTTATCTCTTCACTGTGTTGAATTTCAGAGAGTAATTTGAGCAGATCACATGTACCTGTTGAGGAACATGATAGCTCCATTGGTAAAGAATTGATTTTTCTACTTACTAGTGCATTTATTGCAGTATTTTGTTGTTTTTGTATGCCCAGCAGGCAGGCACTCTCCTCTGAGCTATGTCCTTGCTAATGTCTCACTTACTAAACTCATAGTTAGGGGCATTGTTAGTCACTGTAACCAAAACTGTTCAAAATTGAAGATGTTTGTTTTTCATTTTTTTCTTTTAAAGAGAATAAAATCAAACAGAATAAAACCAAACTAAAAAAATAAATAAATACATAAAACCAAACAAAACAATGAAAGTGATATAGCACTTCAAAATAAGATAATAGAAAATCAACAATGGCTACCATTATGCCTCTTGTTATAGCTTCCCATACCATCAGATGTAATAAAATCAAACAACAGAATATAATAAAACCAAAACAATGAAAGTGATACAGGACTGCAAAACAAGACAATAGGGAATGAACAATAGCCACCACCTTCAGAAGGCGATCCCCCATAGTTACCATATTGTATATTGTTACCCTCAAAATGATTTCCTCATTTATGAACTCAGTATCTGAGACCGATGTGGCACATACCCTGAGACACGGGTGGCTGTTGGAAGCGCTGCAGTGAGATCTGACTGAACACTTGCCTGACTCTGCTGTGCTCTTCCAGACCAAGATGCTGATGGGCGAGGTGATGAGGGAGGCCGCCTTCTCCCTTGCTGAGGCCAAGTTCACAGCGGGCGACTTCAGGTAAAATCCCACAGCAGCTGCTTCGCAGAAACAAAGTGCTTTCAGGTTCATAATTACAGTAACTTTTAAAATAATGTGATGTGTGTGTCTTGCAGTCAGATGACGGATAGTGAGGAGGTAAGGAGCTCCTGGAACCCTGCCCTGCACTGCCCATTCCTGCCCCCAGGGGGCTCTGCACGTGCGGGCACAGAGACCTTGCTTGTTCTGGCATCCATTTGCATTTGACCATGTACCAAAAACATTCGCCCTTGTTTCCATGTGGACGTTTCCTCCTTCTAAAAGGTGCTGTGATCAGTTTTCTCCTCATACTGGATTTTGGTGTGATTACACCAAGATACATTAAATATCTTAATGCGTATCTTTTTTTTTTTTGCAGTTTTTAGGGAGTTATTAGGGTACATTTTGGGGACTAAACTTCCTTCCTTCCTCCATTCATTTATTTTCAGGAAAGAACAGTTATATACCCTCCTGGCCCTAGTTCATTGCCTTTATAAGAGCGGGTAGAGGAGGGAAGAGGGGAGAAGGAAAAAAGAAACCCAGAAGAAGGGAATTGAATAAAATCCCAGTGTTGTGAATCAATTCATTATACGGCCACTTACACCTGGTGTCCTGGAAAATGTACTTTCTTTTTTGTCTCATCCTAGGGCTTGAATCCTGATTCTTTTCAGCTGTGTAGAATGTGTTATTTTAAAAGGCAGGGGTCTTGTGGGGTTTGTGGTAGCAGTGCGTGCTTTGCAGCACACACACAATAGTTTGCAAATTGTACCAATGTACGGGTTAGAGACTCTCCACATAACCCAGGGCAGTAAGCATCGCTGTTCTAGCTTAGGTGAAATCCTTTGCTGAAGTCACACAGCTAGTTAAGAACAGAAGTAAAAGTTGTTTATAGGTTTTTAACTTCCTGTCGCTGGCACTGGGATATGAATCCAGGGGCTTGCAGATGCTCAGCAAGCACCCCACCACTGCACCGCGCTGCCAGCCCTTTTTAAAATTGTATTCCGAGACAGGGTCTCACTAAGTTGTCTGAGCTGATGTCAAACCTGGGGTCTTTATTCCTCTGCCTCCTGAAAAGCAAGGATTGAAGCTGAGCACTGCCACTCCCAGCTGTTTTCAGGACTTCTGGTTTTGATGTTCTTTTCCCACTGGCATGATTCCTCCTTACATAGGAGTGTTCCCTGGCAGCAGGCCTTTGAGCCTGAGTGCTGTAGGCCCCCAAGGTGAGGGTCTTGAAGTTTTGTCAATACCAGAGGAGGAATCATGGATGGGGTGTAAGTGGTTTATGAGCTGTTGTGTGGAGGGTTTTTGAGCAGTTATGGGAAAGTCACTGTATTTTATAACAAAGTTGAAGCCAGAATTAGGGTGATAGAGTTTAAATGCCAGCTTAACCAACTGAATAGCAGACTGGAAGGAAAGTTTTCTCCAGATTACACTAGCAGAACGAGAACTCTGAGTGTAGTAGCCCTGCCCACGCACTGACCGAAAACGCAATCTCCGCACCGGTCAGTGGTTTTACCGTTGTTCGTTCTCTGCCCTGTGAGGCTCTCCTCAGACAGCATTGAGTCCTCTTTTCTGAAAAAATGAGTTTTCAGAACACCTAGCTGTGACATCTCACTGTCGCTCTCGTTTGCTGTCCAAACTGCCAGCAGGTCCCTGTGGGTTTAGTTCTAAGGCGACAGCTAAGTAAAGGCTCTGTCTTCTTCTGCAGCACCACGGTTATCCAAAATGTAAATAAAGCCCAAGTGAAGATCCGGGCGAAGAAAGATAACGTAGCAGGTAACTTTTCAACCCTTCAGAACCTTTGGAGGAGAACAGGTGACATTTCCAACTCAGCCACTTATGCAACAATAGCTTGATGTCCCAGTTTCTCTCTTTTATTAGAACAACTTTATTGGCTTCGTTTGTTGAAACCATTAGCAGCCGGGTCCTTATTACTCAGTCTGATCTGCTATTTGAATAGAAATGAAGCCTTGAGCAAACACTTTCTGAAATACATTGACTAAAGTCAGTTACATTTCCAGACTTCATCACTTGACTTTTGAGGAAAAAAAACCCAAAACATAGGAGAGTACATCCACAGTGAATAAGGAGGAGTACTTCAAGGCTGAGTTCTGTTGGTGAATACCTGTCTGCTCTGTGTTTAACAGGTGTTACTTTGCCGGTCTTCGAACATTACCATGAGGGAACTGACAGTAAGTGTGGACCTCTATGTTAGTGTTCGTCTGCATCCTCTTTAAGTGAAACTCGCTCTGGAAAGTGGCACCAGTCAGACTCTTAGAGGTCGAAGGTTCCTCTGTTAGATACTTCTTTACTGCTAAGGTTGCAGCAGTTATTCAGTTAATCAAGGATCCTTTGACAGGCGTTCATAAAACTTTGTACATAACTTAAAATATTTGAACTTACAGATAAATCATTTTATAGTCACTTGCCATTTAAGAAGGCATTTTCTTCTATTATGAATTCATTGGTTATACTTTTGTGTTGTCTTTCTTTGCAAAACCCCCAATACATTATTAATAACTTCCAGTTTGTACATTTTTTAAAAGTTATAATAAGATGTTTTATGCTGTGATACAGTCTGAATGCTGTTTTTAGATTTTTTCACTATCTCCCAATTGTTTGTAATTGTCTTATCCATTCCATTCCTAAGTTGGCAGTGTTTTGAAGTAGTAACGCATTTATTGAGTTTTTCCCAAGTAATTGTTTTCCATAGACACAGTAACATTCTTTGTTCTGGCCCTTGTAGCTCATTGGCTTCTGAAATATTTAAATCAGAGAGAGTCATGTGTTAACAGAGGGTCATTGTACTGTGAGCAGCAGGCCACTGTCATTTCCGAAGGGAATGGGGTGTCAGCCAGTGAAATGCAGGTTGGTTGAGTTTTTCTTCTGGGCTGGGCATGTAGCGCACAGGAGAGGGCTGCCTGCCATGTGCAGGGCCCTGGGTCCCCTCGCCAGCACCAGGCACACACTGTGAGAGGGAGTCCTTGTGGAAGCTGTAGCAGCTGTGTGCCCAGGAGTGAGGTGGGCACCTCTCATTGCATTTACTAGGAGTTAGCAAATCTGTCTGTGTTTGGTAGTTTTCTGCTTTTTTTTTTTTTTTTTTTTTTGGTTAGTTTTCTGCTTTTTTTCTTCTTGGGAATTTTCTTTGAGAAGATAATTTATTCTCTAATTACAAATGTTGTCTAACTGGTTCTTTCAGGTTATGAACTCACTGGTTTAGCCAGAGGTGGGGAACAGCTAGCTAAACTGAAGAGAAATTATGCCAAAGCTGTGGAGCTGCTGGTGGAGCTGGCTTCGCTGCAGGTGAGAGCTGGGAGCCGAGCTCAAGAGAAGCTTCTCGCAGTCGCTGGAGGACATGGGGCAGGTGCTTCTGCTGCGCTGTGACCCCACGTGAAACATGCCTAATGTCAGCATTTCTGAAATAGTGGCTCCTGCACTTGTACCTCTGTATTTATTACTAACAAAATATGTGTGCAGTGGTAGGGTTCCACTCTTCACTAGGTGACAAAACTATGTGAATGTAAATAAATAATGTTCGTTCACGAAGCACTTTTTCCCTTTGTGGCCAGTCAGTGTAGCTAAGTCACTGGGACATTTTTAAACACTATTCCTGGTGTCTTTTTGTGTTTTTGTTTTGTTTTGTTTTTTTGTACCAGGAATTGAATTTAAGACCTTGTGCATGTTGGGTGCTTATGCCACTGAGCTATATCCCAGCCCTCTAGTGTCATTTTTATGTCTTCATTTAGGTGAGTCAGAGGTAAACAGATTACAGTAGCATGGAAATAGTGTTAGCTGTTGGAAATCTCACATGAGTTTTCTCTTTCAAACATGATGAAAAGGTGGTCTTTGGGTTCCTAACTGTTTTCTATGTGTACTGTCTGTGTGGAGCCAAGTGAACAGAGCATAACTGAGAAGACTTTGTGCTTATTTTATCAATCTGCCCTCTTATTTTAGACTTCCTTTGTTACTCTGGATGAAGCTATTAAGATAACCAACAGGCGTGTAAATGCCATCGAGCACGGTGAGTCACGGTCGCCATCCGCCCCTCCTAGGACTCAGGCTGCACGGTCCCGAGAGGTGAAGGAGATGCGCCGTGCACGGTGTGACAAGTGTCACAGCACCAGATGCAGGGTGAAGTGAGGACTGTGCCTGGGATCTGTGGAGGGGGGAAATAACAGAGAAAAGGCAGGTTAAAAATTATGGACCATCTCATTCATTTCCAGTCACTAATATAGTTAGCATAGTTGAAACTATTTTTCAAAAGGCATAATATATCGTTTAATTCTTTATAATGGTTGGACATTGTATCTTTTTGAGTATATTGAAACAGTAGAACAGTTCACGGACACTTTTTGTAGAAGCATTTGGCAGAATTTTGTGTTTGTGTGTGAACTCTGCATCCAGCCATGACCATGAACATGGCCGTGTTTACCAGAAGAGGGGAACGAATGAAGTTTGTTTTACCTTTAAATCCTTTTCTTTGGGCTGTTCTCCTTAACTTCTAAAATTAAAATTTTCTTATTTATTTATGTATTGTATTTTGTGACAGTGTCACTATGTAGTTAAGGCTGGCCTTGAACTCGCAGTGATCCTTCTCGGTTTTGGGTGCCGAGAAATTGAACGTAGGCCCATGCTCACGGTGGGCAGGTGCTTTAACGCTGGGCTGTGTATTCCCACCTGGAGACTTCTTCAACTCTTGCGAGTGCGAGGTCTTGCACTTGGAACCATAAGCACAAGAAAATGGGTAATGCTGCAGTTCTCACCTTTGAGGGAGTTCACGTTCTAGGAGCCAAACAGGCAAATTCCGTGCAAAGTACATGCAAGTAAAACTTACAAGATTCTCCCTAGCCTAAATTTTTTTTAATGGATTGCTGTTACACTGTGGTATTCATCGTTGGATCTTTGTGGTCCAGGTGTTATCTGTACCTTGAAGGCATTAGAAGGGCATATACCAAAATATTTACAATAGTTACTTATGAGAGTTAGTTGGGTTATACTTCAGTTTGTTTTGCCTTCCCACTTGTTTGTATCAAGTGTAAGTTAGGGTTATGATTAGAGAAGTAACTGTTAAACGAGCACTGTTAATTTGAAACGAGGTGCTCAGATGTACTCATGTGTCTGTTTCTTTAAACTTTAGTTATTATACCTCGGATTGAACGTACCCTTGCTTACATCATCACAGAGCTGGATGAGAGAGAGCGAGAAGAATTCTATAGGTTTGTTGAAATTGGCAGTTTGGTGTCTTTTTGTTTTTGTTTTCCACATTCTAAAGTTTCAATTTGCAGAGTGACTAGTTGGCTTTTTTGCTTTGCAATTAGCAGAGTCTGTATTTTATTCTGATAAATAAGAAATAATGCTGTAGTCTTCTACAAACTGTTCTGCTTTTCATGTTTTCAGTCCTTGTAGTGAACTGCAGTCGGAAAATATTAAGTGGAAGATTTGAGATATGATAAGTTCTCAGTGGCTGAGTAGCAGCTGGTCCTGCTCCATCAGGAGGGGTTCATTGTCGGGTGTAGCTGTCCACCCCACTGCCAGCCACATGGTCACTGTTTCAGTTCTCACACTGGCCACTGACTGTCACGGCATTGCAGGGCTTGTTAATGTAACCCTGTGGGACGCTAGCAGGGCAGACATGCAGACAGAAGTCACGAAGTGTTCCCATTAAGTGAAAAGGTCGAAGGTCTTAGTAAGACTTGTTAATCTCCTCAAGTACCTAAATCATAAACTTCATTATGAGGCTGTATGTATTTTTGATCCGTAGTTGGTTAAGCTTAGAGATGTAAAACTCGCAGATACAAAGAGCCATCTAGGAAAAAGCTCAGTACACCCAGATTCGGGGTCAGATATCTCCTGAGGTCTTGGGATCGATCCCCTGTGGATAACAGGACCGCGGTATTGCCAAAGGCCATGGAGACAACCCAGTTTAGATTGCTGCTTCCAGTATAAAAAGTGGTCAATCAGCAGATGTGTAGCACATGTTGAACATGTTCAGGAGATGGCATAAAGCACTTGGGCATTATCAGTTAGTATAGATCATGTCACTGGAGAATTAGCACCGTATTTGCAGAGAAATGTGTGTCCATGAAGAATTGGGTAAGATTTAGTTAGTAGAGATAAATCACTGGTGTACAAAGTCACTACACCTGGTTCAGAGAATGGGTTGCAGTAGGCAAAAACAGGAATGTTTAGAGAAAACATGCTTTTTTTTTTTTATGTATTTTTGCCTTTTTGAGACAGGGTCTCACTATGCAGTTCAGGCTGGTCTTGAACTCACTTTGTAGCCCAGGCTGGTTTTGAACTCACAGCAATCATCTTGCCTCAGCCTCCCACATGCTCCCTCATGTGACACCATGCCTGGCTACATGCTTGTTTTAGATCTTATATAACATGAGTGTGATTAAAGTCTTAATTATTAAAGGTTAGTTTCTGTCTTTCAGTGATGTTCAGAGTTGTGGTGACCCAAAATTTTAATAAAAGAATGTTGAAACTCTGCTTCATTAGGGAATGGATTATTATTTTGTTTTATTTTCCTTTGTTGAGATTGTATCTCACTATGTAGTTTTGGCTGGACTTAACTATGTAGCCTAGGCTGGCTTCCATCTTAAGGTGATCCTCCTGCCTCAGCCTCCTGAGTGCTGGGATTACAGGTGTGCACCACTGTATCCAGCTCAAATTTATTTAAGCTGGGAGGGGAGATTTTATATATATAATGTTAATATATATTACCAAATATTATATATGTTATATACACATACTTTTGTTTGTTTTGACTTTTTTGAAACAGGTTCTATGTAGTTCAGACTGGCCTTGAACTATGTAGCCCAGGCTATCTTGAATCTGCAGTGATCCTCCTGCCTCAGTCTCTGAATGATGGGCTTTTATAAGGTTGTGCCATCATGCCTGGCTCAAATGTTTTTTAAAAAATGGGTTATAAATTACTGAAATTAAGATGGGAGTATTAATTTTTATACCTAGTTGTACATGTTTGTTGTTCTTATTATGAAACCAGGAGAAATGAAGTTTATTCAGTTCTGAAATAGCATTCAGAAACTTTTCCTCAATGTTACAGGTTAAAGAAAATACAAGAGAAGAAAAAGATTCTCAAGGAAAAATGCGAGAAGGACTTGGAGCAACGGAGAGCAGCTGGTGAGGTGATGGAGCCTGCAAACCTTCTGGCTGAAGAGAAGGATGAAGATCTTCTGTTTGAATAGTCTTCTCTGCTTTGCCACTTTGGGAAGTCTTCACCGTGACTCCATTTAAAATCGGTGTGTCGGTTTGGTACGTGTGGCTATTTGTATTTTGGCCTATGAAGTCCAGCAGTTCTACAGTTTACCTGGATGTCTACTTATGGGATGACTCTTGCAGAACCCTAATTTAATTCAGTGTCCCTGTGCTGCAGGCGAGTGAGCTCCGGACTTGCAGGCTTCCCTTTGCTGGGCGTCACGGTTCCTTTACATCATGTTACGTGTGACTTGTCCACTAAGCATTTTAAGAAATACCCTTTAGGAAATGTTAGAGGTCTCAGGCCAGCTGCTGTGAAGATGTTTCCCACCCACTTGCAAACCCTGGCACACGTCTGAAATGCCACAGCCACCTGTGTCACCACGGTACTTCCAAAGCTTTGTGCAAACCTGCACTTTTTTCCCTTGCATGACAGGTCTGTCTTGTCTGGGAAGCATTTCTGCCAATTTAAATGTGACTATGTTATACACAGTAAAATGATTGAAAAATAAGTTTTTCTTTCTTTTACTAATTTACTACTGGTAGTCATGGTCTTGCACTTAGATCAGTGATTGTATTGTTATCCAGATTTTTCTGCAGACCTATTGTGAGTAGCCTTTTTAAAATTCCATCCATTATCAAGGTAGTAAAAGACTTACTTTTTAGACAGTTATGGCATTTTAGGCACTAATAAATGATTGCCAGTGAGTTAAGTGGGCTTCATAATACTCTCCTAAGAATACTTGGATGTAATAAGGTATCTTTGTACTGTAAGCAGTGACAGTTTGCTGCTTTCACGTATGAAAATGAAGCACTTTTAAAAAAGAAAATGAAGCACTTGAGAGGCTGTGGCAGGGAGTTACTGCAGTTTTTAGTGCCATTTCATGATTACTTTTTTTTTTTTAAAGAGAGTCTTGCCTTGTAGCTCAGCCTGGCCTCAGCCTGGTGGCAGTCCTCCTGCCTCAGCTTTCCAAGCACTGGGATTGGGCTGGGGATTTAGCTCAGCGGCATAAGCGCCTGCCTTACAAGCAGGCAGTCATGAGTTCGATCCCTGGTACCGATAAAAACGAAAAAGACCAAAAAAAGAAAACAAAACCAAGCACTGGGATTACAGGTGTCAGCTACCATGTACTGTCTTTTTTTTTAAACTCAAGCCTTTTTTGTAACCAGTTCTGGTATTTGGGGGTATGACTGGCCATGGAACAGTTCTTAGGTACATGACACTAAACTTACTGGCTAAAAAGCCTAGACTAGTTGATTAAAATACAGTAAGTACTAATGATTTTTAACACTTGCTATAAAATGATAGATCTTAGTTTTGTACCAGGCACTATTTGATGTGTTATCACAACCACAAAAATACCTATTTTACTTCCCATTTCCTGGAAGAAAAATTTGAGGCACAGGGAACATAAGTAATTGTTAAAAAGCTAGAAAGTAGTAAACTCAGTGTTTGAAGTAAGTCTACCCTGTTTCCACACTCTGAACTTTGATCCTGACTACAAGTAGTACTACGAAATTTAAAGGCAGGCTGTGGGGCCCGTCCTGGAGGAAGTGATCTGCTGCTCACAGAATCAAATCTATCTGTGTAAATTCAGTAGTGACTGGAAAACCAGTGACTAAATTATCAGTACCAATACCAAAAGTGTTGAATCTTCTCTTGGTGAGATGTAAGTTCTATCACTTCATTTTGCAGAGAAGGAAAGTAAGGCTCAAATAGGGTAAAACAGCATAGCTCAACTAACATGTCAGATCGATTTTGATTTCAGAGGGTTAGTCCTTAAGCACTATGGACTGCTTTTCTTTTTTTTTTTTTGTCTTTTTCCTTTTTATCGGTACTGGGGATCGAACTCACGACTGCCTGCTTGCAAGGCAGGTGCTTATGCCGCTGAGCTAAACCTCCAGCCCCCTGGACTGCTTTTCTAGGAAGCAAAAATTAACCTGAAGGTAGGAATAGGGAGCTAGATTAGTGTTTTTTTATGTATTAAATAAAGCATTCATTTTAAGCTGTGACTCAAGAAATCTAGATTCCTCTTGTGGCTGCTTAAAGCTCTGGTATTGATTGGTGTGGTTTAATCTCTAAAAAACTGCAGATAATTTTATGATTTGGCTATTTGTTAAAATCAGCTGAGTGTGATGATGCACACTTGTAACAGCACACCTGGGAGTTTAAGTCAGGATTATGAGTTTGAGGGCAGTGTGGACTACACAGTGAGAACCTGGTCTCAAAAGAAGAGAAAACCAGACAGAGAATTTGTTGTGTGGTCTTAGAGTGATACGGTCTTCAGGCAATGGGGGAAGATCAGGAATAGGAACCGAAAGCTAGATTAGGGTTGTAGGTCTATGATTTGTGGTTTCAGAGAACAAAAGGGGAGAGCTCTGTCTCCACCTTGCCACTGGCCTAGCACTGTGGTGGCTGACTGCGCTTAAGAACCTCTGAAAATGGAAGAGCAGTATGCATGTATCTGCCAGCAGTGCACGCCCTGTCCTCGGTGTGCTGAAACCCCTGGCTGCAAAGAGGAGTGTGCCTGAATGCGGAATTACATCCCTCCTTTACTAGCAGCTGGACATTCGGGACCAGGACCTAATACTTCCGTGACAACACAGGGTACTCACTCCCTCAGCGAAGCACAGGTTAGCATGCAGTCTGTTCCAGCAGTCTCTGGCAAATGCTTGGGGAGCGAATGAATACAGCAAGAAAAAAGTATTTGGTGGCTTTTATTTGAAATACAGTTTTTACAATACAGTGTACAGTATGACATTTCAAAGTACGAGTAGATACAGGATAAGTACAAATGGAGATTAACAACAGATGTCAGAATGGTTACCTTTATTAAGGCTAAATCCCTGGTTTATATTTTCTACACACATTCATAAAATTACATTCAGATCATTCCTTAGCAATACTCCTTAGGCCGTGAGAAAAGGAAAAAAACCCAGACATTCCATAGAAAGAAAATCTGGATTCATCTAAATACTATGTTCTTCCATTTGTTCTGACTCATGAAAATTTAGGAAATGAAGATAATTGCTTAGATTTCTTAAGTACATTTCACTAGCTATTGGAATAAGTGGTTAAGACTTCCTTGACCCTGCAGTCTCCAAGCTGAACCACAGAGGGGCAGGAAGCAAAACTGGCCGGAGAAGATGTACAGCTAGATGTGTATAGCAAGTTTTTTTCTCATATTTGGAAGTCAAGTGTTCACTTTCTTTAGGGACTGTGTTCAACACAAGCACATTTGTTTTTTGGGTTTTTTTTTTTTTTTTTTTTGTCTTTTTCCTTTTTATCGGTACTGGGGATCGAATTCATGACTTCCTGCTTCCAAGACAGGCGCTTATGCCGCTGAACTAAACCTCCAGCCCCCAACACAAGCACATTTGTATCAGTAGGATTTACAGACAAAAAACTTCTATCATTCAACCACTGCGAATGAGGAAGGAGAGAACTACCAGGTTCCAGTCAGTGACCCTGAAAATAACATTATCTTACAGGTCCTAGAACTGGCGTCATGACATGTGCCTTGTTTGGATTTTCTATGAAAGCCATGTGCCTGAGTTTACAAGACTTAGCAGTGGTGGCCCTAAGTCAGCAGGTGACACAACAGCCTCTCACTGACACTAAAACCTTGCATGAACCTAACACAAACTATAAGTATTGAAAACAGTTGTCAGTTACTATATGCAGTTCACGAAACTCCACTGTCAGCCACAGACTACCTTTCATTCCTGAGAAAGTAAAATGCAGAAAACTAGAAAGATGAAGTGCTAAGTATCCTCCTTGGTTTTCAAAGTTGAGAATGGGCGCAGTCTTCGCATTTTCCTGCTACAAGCTGGAGTGTTTCAGACCTGAGGAGAGGGTAGCAAGGCATTCCTTTCCTCCACCCATGAATATTATCTGCTTCCTAAGGAATACCTTGAAAATATTCCAAAGACACACTCCCCAGTCAACTAAAATAAAGAGGCCATGCAAGTTTGAACAGAAAAGGCAACACAAAAACTGTTTACATTTGTCCCAATAAAATTCTGTAGAAGAGAAAAAAATCAACTATATACATGATGCTGACACACTACTTATTAATAACTGCTTGTGTTAAATTAAGTGATAAGTCTGTATTATTCCAGTGTCTAGCAGGTTACCGGAAATGCAGCTAAAGTCATCATAAAATTAAAGGCATTCACATTTGAGGCTGTGTCACAAATCCCACTGTCATTAAAGGCCTGGAATGACTACAAATTAACTTTCCATGCCAATTACAATTTTAAAGCTATGGCTATAGAGACAGTACAAAAACCCTAACTAGTTTAACAAGCTGTTGCATTCTGGTCATAATGTTTTTCTCTTGCTTAACAGCTTTTCCCTCCAATTTCTTTTCCTAAAATGTTCAAATGACTTTCAGATCTTCCTCTCCTTCTGATCTCAAAGTCAGTTGTCATGCTCCTCCCCGAGTGCATGAGTGCAGGTGTGTAATTTTATTCCAATGTTTAACAGTATCAATGACCATTTGTTGATCTATTAAATATTAAATCTATTAAATACAGCAGCTATAGTCATCAACAGAATTCCAGTCTTACATATGTAGCACAGTTACAGACAAATACTGTGGTCACATGTAAAAATGCAGAAACTGTCAAATGTGCTATGTTCTCCCAGGTATATAAAAACTGCATCATGAAGAGACTATGTATCTTACACATTCTATTGTAGTATTCAGATCAGAAAAAGGAAGCAAGGCTGTCAAATCACTTGCAAAAATTCCACAAAATTGTATCCTTAAGATATTTTGTTTGTCTTTATCTACATTAAAGGCTACATATGTGGCCTGATCCACAAAGTTGGAGCTAAAAACCTGAGACTTCTAATGGAACTTCTATTTTTGAGTTAGAACACAAATGAATTCAAGCCTGAACAAGTAGCTCCAAATCAAAGTGGCAACTTTTTTCCTGAGGAAGTACTTCTGATTGCTAAACTAGTCTTCTAACAAATACTGTTGTGCCCAATGCACAGAAGCACAGTCCCCAAAATATTCCCAAGAAGTCATTTAAGTGTTAAATAATGTCAATATTTATAACTATGTGAGCCATGGTGTACTGTATACATGCACACAACTTTTTCACAGAAGTTTGACCAAGCAGAAAAATTTTAGCTGATTAATAAAAAGTTTTAACAGGATAAGCTGGAACTGCTCTGTTGAAAGTTTCCATTTAAAATCCCCAAAGGAAGCAAGAGTCCCTACAGCTATATGGAGAGCATACAGAATGCCCACAAATCACCTATGGGGACTTCCTTCTCACAAGTTCAGGAGATCTAAGAACAAGTCTGCAATTTATCCTGCTGCCTGCCTTCTTATCCTCCATCTTGCTGAAGTACTGGGCAGTTTGCCAAAACAAGTCCACTCCTGCCACAGAATGACTGTTCCTTCACCTCAGCCAAGTGGATGGCACCCACTGAGGTTCGGTATCGAGTTTGTTAATTAACCTAAGCAATTCCTGATAGGCTTTATCAAGATCTGAATTCACAATTGCCGTGTCAAAGTAGTGGCCATTGTTCTGTTCCATCTCTCTAGTCTTCTCGATGATTTCTCTCAGCTCTTCAGGCTGCAAAGAGAGGATACAAACTGTGAAATAGTTATATGAAAGGAGAGAAGGTTATATGAAAGGAGAGAAGGTTAGCACTCCCTTGACAAGAGGCCCTCGGGCATGACAACATACATATAGTTAAAGCACTGCCACCTTCTTCATGGGGTCTAACCTCTGTTTGGGCCAGCTAAAGCTCAGTGGCATAAGCGTGAATTTGATCCCAATACTTAAAAAAAAAAAAAAAAAAAAACAACCTATGAGATAATTCTTATCTTTCCAAAACAAGGATGGTCAGATGGTCCATGACAAGGACTGTTCTCACATTGTTTCCTGTCTTTCAAAACATTCAGCTTCCAGAACCTTTTAAACCACTCTACAGGGCTAGTTCTTCTGTACTGGCACCTTTAAGACCCACATGATAAATTATTTGGGACTCAGTGTATCCTATTTTATACCACTATACTTCTGTCATATCTCACTGAGACTATAAAGCGCAGACTGTTACTTTGATTTTCCTATTAACATTTCTTTTCAAACATTATAGGGTACCGTAACTTTCCTCAAAACATATGTAAGACAGCCTTTCTGATTGGAGAAAAGGACTCAAAGCATCCCTACTCCTGGCTCTTGTAATGAGGCCCTGTCCTTCAGGTCTCTAGCCAAGTTAGAATGAACATTACAGGAAACAAAAGGATGAACAGAATGGTTTCTCTTTTTCTAAAAAACCTTCCTCAAGATCTAAAATCTAACATACCTGGTGTGTGTGTGTGAATATGCAGCTTAAAACTTTGAATTACTACTGTTTTCAATAAATAAGGAACATCTTCAAGATGCAAATGGAACTTTTACAGAGCGGACTATTTTAAAATACGGTGTGCTGGAAAATGCTGTTGAGCATGGACAAGGAGGTTGCGAGGCTATGTACAAAATTGATCCAGAACCCTCTGCTCATCAGGCAGATGAGTTCAGGAACATGAAAGTGCTCCCAAATCACCCTTAGCACCGAAGACAGTATGAGATGCAATGTTTGAAAACGTCACAACAACACTATATTGGGCTTGCATTTGGCATTCTGCGACAGAAGGAAAATGTTAAAAACATAACTGCTTGTCCTGGGGCAGTTTCCTGTGCAGTGCTCTACTTCCTTCTGTAATTCTGTGTATCTGAACATAGCACACAGACTCCTTTGTTCCCAACAAGGAATCAACTGCATTCACCACTGTAACTGAACACACTTGACATTTCTGCTAAATCGTATCTTCACTTGAAGCTTGAGATTAGCTTTTATTAAATTTAAGGTATTATTAAATTTAAGGTATTCTTAAGGAATATTCCTTATTTAAATAATACCTTATTTAAGGTATTATTTAAGGTATTATTGCAGAAATGACTTATGTAATTATTTAGTACTTATCTGAACTTATTGTTTAAATTATAACCCATAACTAAAATGAAACATTGTTTTATTGCAAATATTTCGAACTATAATAGTCTACAGTCAAAACTGACCATCACACCATCACTTCAAAGAGTAAACCAACCATCTGAAATCATACCCTCCAGTAGAACAGCTAGAACACTTAACTATTTCCTAGTACAATTTCACACAATTAAAGTTTGTTCTTACTCAGTACTTCTATCATGTGAGAAACTTCAAAGGATGCTCCCCTCAGCAGCACATGTACTAATGGAATGATGCAGCTAATATTAAAAAAAAGTGTGATGTCGTGGCACATGTTGATAATATCAGCAGGAGGACACTGTAGCTCCAGGCCAGCCTGAACCAGTGAGACCAGGTCTCAAAAACAGGAAAGCATAAGTGGAATAAAACCAACAATGTTAATACATACCTTTACAGGTATGCATGGGATGTTTACTAAGACAGAACATAAGGATTGTTATATGGCTCGACAAAATATTTAAAAGACTGGTATCTGTCAACATCTATTTTCTGACCATAATGGAACTATAAATCACAAAGGTATTTCTTTTTTTTTTTTTTTTTTATCTTTTTCATTTTTATTGGTACCGGGGATCGAACTCACGACCGCCTGCTTGCAAGGCAGGTACTTATGCCGCTGAGCTAAACCCCCAGCCCCTACAAAGGTATTTCTTAACATTGCCAAGTAGGTACAAATTAAATAACATACTTCTATAATAACCATGGGTTAAAGAAGAAAATGACAAGGAAAATAGAAACTATTTCTAATAAAATGAATATACATCAAAACTTATGGGATACAAATAAAGAACAGCTTAGAGGGAAGTTTATCACTTCAAATGCCTGTATTTAAAAAGAACAAAAGGTAGGCTGGGGATTTATCTCTGTGGCTCAAGCACTTGCCTGGTAAGTACAAGGTCATGAGTTGACGCCCAGCTAACAAAATATAAAAAAAGAAGAAGAAGAAAGGTTTAAAATTTAAGCTGTCATCTTCAGGAACTAGAAATGCAAATTAAAGCCACAGTAAGTATAAGAATAAAAATAAGCACAAGTGAATTAAATATAAAATAGACCAAAAAAAAAAAAAAAAAAACTCCGCCTCAGTTCTTCTAAAGTGTTTTTGGTAATGCCATTTAATTTCTTTATTAATTTTTAAGTAAGAATTTTAAGTTCTACAGCTAAATCTGCTGGGATCTGGGTAGGGAAATAGCTTTCTTGAAGTATAATTCATGTATCACACAATGTACCCATTTAAAATTTATGACCTCACAGTGTTTGGTGCAGTGACCTAGTTCTGTAGTTGATACAACCATTTTTAAGACATTTGAACATTTCATCATCTATTCCTCGCTCCCAACCTGAAAATCCATACCAATTAGCAATCACCTTCTTCCTTCTAATCCCTAGCCCTAAGCAATCACCAATCAAGTCCAACAGATCTGCCTATTCTGGACATTCCATATAAATAGAACTGCATAATGTGTGGTCTATTGAATCTGGCTTCTTTCACTTAGTATGTGTTTCAGGCTCACCCATGCTGGAGCATGCATCAGTACTTAATTAGTTTTTAAAAAATCTTTTCAATTCTGGGTATTGATTGAATTCAGGGGATCACAAACGCTAGACAAATGCTCTAACACTGGGCTACATCCCCAGTCCTTTCTATTTTTATTTGCCATGTGTACACTAGCCAAGCTGGCCTCAAATTCTTGATCCTTCTACCTCAGCCTCTCAAGTGCTGATATTACAAGTATGTACTATCATGTCTGGTTACTTCATTTTTTTTTCCTTTGTCTTTTTGAGACAGGGTTTCACTATGCAGTTCAAGCTGGCCTTGGGCTCATTTTGTAGCTCACACTGGTCTTGAACTCCCAGTGATCTTCCTGCCTCAGCCTCCTGAGTGCTGGGATTACAGACATGTACACCACACCAAGCCTTTGTTCTTTTTTATTGCCTGTTTTCTGAGACTTACAATAAAGCCACATAGTCGGGTATGGTGTCACATGTTTGTAATTCCAGAAGTCTGGGAGGTAGGCAGAATGGTGGGAAATTGTAGCCCAGCCTGGCAATTCAGCAAGACCCTGTCTCAAGATAGAAAAAAGGGAGAGAAGTATGCTCAGGATGCAGCTCAGTGTAAAGGCCTTGGGTTCAATCTTCCGTGCCCCAAACAAACTGAAACAAAAGAACAAAAAATTCTTACAAGAAGTTTTAGAAGAAAGCCAACTCAATTCTTTAAAAAGGAGAAGTCACAAAAGAATATGTTCAAATGAATATTATCTTTAGTCATCAGGAAAACACAAAAACCATAAAGACTATACTTTGCATCTATTGGAATAGCTAAAAAAATTTTTACATATTGACAACAGCAAAAGTCAATAAGGCTATAGACTATCTGGAACCATCACACGTTGGTGGCAGGAGTATAAAATGGCAAATTTAGGTAGGCATGGCACAGGCCTGTAATTTCAGCACTCAGGAGCCTGAGGCAAGAGGACTGCTATGCTTTTGAGACCAGCCTGTGCTACAAAATGAGTTCAAGGCCAGCCTGAATTGCATAGCGAGACCCTGTCTCAAAAAGACAAAAAACAAAATAAAATGGCAAACTTTTAAACTATTGCACAATTTTTATACTGCTAAAACATACATCTCATTCAATGCAGCAATTCCACTTTTATGTATGTATCCAAGAAAAATGAAAACATGTCCACCAAAAAGGCTATGTAAATGTTTGATCATGCTAGCTCAAAACTAGAAACAATTCAAGTGTTTTCAACTGGAGAATGAATAAACTAATTTTAGGGTAATTGTTTTGCTGCCCTTTCCTCAAAGCATTAATATCTAGAATTTGTAAAGAACTTAAAAAAAGGAAAATTAAAATAAAAGACCCCTACAAGTAAAGACCCAATTGAAAAATGGGCAATGTGAAATGAGTAAACACTTTACACAAGTACAAATGGCCAATAAATTCATAAAGAAATGCTCAGTATCACTGGCCATTAGACAACTGCAAATTTAAAACACAATGAAGGTTTATCTTACTCCAGAAAGAATGGGCACTGTCAAGAAATCAAATAATAACAAATGCTGGAGAGGCTGAGGGGAAAAGGAACCCTTCTTGTTGGCGGGAGTGTAAACCTGTATAACCACTGTGGAAATCAATATGGAGATTCCTCAAAAAAATTAGAAATTCCATTTGACCCAGTTATTCCCATTCTAAGTATCCTTCTGAGAATTAAAGTTCATATTACCAGGATACATGCCTACTCATGTTTATAGCAGCACAATTTATAACACCTAAATCTTTAGAAGCAGTCCATCAACAGATGAATGGGTACATAAAATGTGGTACTTACACACAGTAGAGTAATACTCTGCCATAAATGAGGATAAACTCAAGTCATTTGTAGGAAAAAAGATGCACTTTGAAACCATAATGTTAGGAGAAATAAATCAGACACACAAGTTTAAATACTGCAGTTTCTCTTACATGAGAAACCCAAATTATAAAAAACCCCAGCAAATTAAAGAGAGATAATACAAAGTAGGGAGGTAGAGCCTTCTCAAACAGGAAAGGAGATCAAGAGATGGAGGGAAGGCGAAGGAGAGGAGAGAAAGAATGAGCTTCTGTCTAAAACAGGTAATTTGGGGGCTGGGGATTTAGCTCAGCGGCATAAGTGCCTGCCTTGCAAGCAGGCAGTCGTGAGTTCGATCCCTGGTACGGATAAAAAAGAAAAAGACCAAAAAATAAAATAAAATAGGTAATTTAAGAAATAGCAAATGACCAAGGAAAAATATTACTTTGAGATATCAAGCATCTGACAATTTTCATTTTACACATTTAAAGTCAATACTTCTGATTAATATATCTATATATTATCACTCACTGTAATATTTAATATAATACAAACTACTTTAACCATATCCAGAGCAGATACAAATTTTAAGAACCTTTTCTTCTGTTCTAGATCATGTGAAGACCAAAAAGAAAAGAAAAAAACAGAAGAAAGTTTCAATGGAAAAAGACTCAACTCTAGTATCTATGACTGTGGACTACCAAGAGTAATGTGGGTAATCTCAAATTTGCTGAAAACTTTGTGGTGGGTAGTTCCACAAAATCTAAGTGTCACGGGTGCATGTGAAGATTAAACAATTACAGATCCCCAGAGGTTATCAAACATTTGGTATTAACAACAGAAAATGTTTGGAGTAACAAACTGCTTTGGAGAGCGGCCATCATCCAACTAGCAGCCATTTATAGCAAATAGGGCGCAACTGACAGTGCAGAAAGAATAAACAGTTTGAAAAGCGACCATGATGTACCTTTTTTAAACACTGTGACTGATCAGGATTGTATCATATGTATCTCCAATGAAACCAAACAATAATGTAACGACTTTACCTTTGGATTCTTGCCCTCTTTGGCCAGTAAGGCCCGGAGTCTTTCTTGGGAAGGAGGTGCGATGAAGATAATATATGGTTTCAAATCTGAATTCCGGAGGGTTTTCAAAGACTGCAAACAAAGATAACTGGATTTTAAAAATAATTTCTATCACTGAACTATTTCTCAGTAACATGCTTGGAGCATAGTAAGTCGTTTAAAAAATATTGCCGATTAATGTTTCTAAATATCTTCCTAATAACTATTCACAACAATGTTAGATTATGTAAGTGTTAAGATTATATAACTATAAATTCATCTATGTTAGTTTGTTCTCTTTTTTTGGTCTTTTTTCCTTTTTATCGGTACCGGGGATCAAACTCACGACTGCCTACTTACAAGGCAGGCGCTTATGCCGCTGAGCTAAATCCCCAGCCCCTAGTTTGTTCTTTTATGTAATGAAATATAAGTAACACTGAAGAATGATTATATAATGCTAAAATACTCCACTAAAAAGACTCTATACAGAATTAAGAATATTACATTATATTCTTATAACCATATTAAAAATTCCATTTTGAAGGAATTGGAATCAAAATAATTATCCTATTGCTAGGCTTATTTAAGTAAAATAAGAGAAAAAACAACATATACACATGCCAAAGAAAATCCAAAAAGAAGACATTCAAGAAAACAAGACTGTCTGAAAGCACAGCTGTGGCCTTTTCTCTTTATCGTGTCACTGTGTATTCTCAAACTGAAGCACTTTAGCAAAAGGGAGGTTTTATATATAGGGATATGTCCTTTTCTACCTAAAAATGTTAAGATAATAATTTGCTAAACTACTCTGAGTTCTTTGGTAAAATCTGTTTTTCCAAATAAAAAGGAATTCTGAAGGAATTTAGTAAAAACATTCATCTATCTCATAGATCAAATGTTTACAACCAAAACAGTTGAGCCATATTGTCTTTGTCTACTAAGAAAGCAGAACCTATTAACTATTTCAGATAGGCACTTTAGATTCAGTTTTCCTATATGTATATTTCTTTAGTAAGGATCACTGACTATATGGTTTGAGTTAATATCAGTAACATTCTATCATATTAAAGGTAGTTATATGCAGAAGTTGGAAAAAAAAGTAAAACTTCCCCACAATGAACATAATTTCTAATTTTATCTACTTACACAGAAATGCAAGACAAAGTTGCCTGGTTAGTTTCTGCTTAGTCAAAGAACTGAAACTGAGGTTTCATTATTTACATAAAGCTAAATATTCATTGTGACACTTATTAATACTTACAAATATGAATATTGCCATTTAAAACCCTAAAAATGACTTAAATTTTCTGATTTTTTCATATCAGAATCAGAAATGGCAGTTTTTTTAAAAAATGGTACCAGAGATTGAATTCATGACTTTGTGCTTGCCAGCCTGGCACTGAGCTATATCCCCAGTTGCAGCAAATTCTTCTATAGTTCAAAAACACCTACAAATACTGTCAATACCACAGTTACTATATCGTAAATTTCAGAAAATATATACACGTGCAAAGTGAAAGACATTTAGCAGCCTACTGAATTTTATATAGCAAACTACTGGGAAAACTGTGAGAACTTAAGCTCTGTTGTTCTTGGAATAAAACAGTTTCTACTAGATTATTTTCCAACACATGCCTTCTGGTATAGTCTGTGTTTTGATGCCCCCCCACCAAAGTCTCATGCAGTCACACAAGTGACTGGATCTGATGTGTGGTGCTAAGATTAAGGGGATATGGAGACTAAATCAGTCCACTGATTGGCTTGACACAGTTCTTGCTGGGATCAAGAGTGTGAGTGCTATACCTGCCTAGGGCAGGTAGCCTGCATAAAAGAGGGCTAACGTGCTCTCACCTGCCTGTTTGCTGACTGTTTCTCCTTTGTGATGCCCCTCTGCCTTGGAACCAGTTGACTATGAATTGAAACCTCTACAAATTGTGAGCCAAATAAACCTTTCCTCCTTCCAACTTTGACTTTTGGGTATTTTGTCTCAACAATGAAAAACGTAAATAACTTAAAGACACTCTCTTAAGTTTAACATTCTAACCCAAACTTCTACCTTTACCTGTGTACGAAGACTTAAAAGACATATTTTGCCAGAGTTGATCACTTGCCGTACAGAGTCTATACTGGTTCCATACAAATTTTTCTCAAATTCACCATGTTCAATGAACTTTCCAGCTGCTATATCAGCCTCAAATGCTTGCCGTGAAACAAAGTGGTAATCTCTACCAGCTACTTCATGGTCTCGTCTACTCCGAGTTGTATCTAGGCAAATAAAATGTAAAAATAACGGATCAGAGTGAGGAGGGTAGATAATTTCTCTAGTTAATTTTTATTTTGTAACAGATTAGGAAATAATGAAGAAATGTTGAGAGACCATGTTTAACACTGATTTTACTTTTAGAATGAGACATGAACAAGAATGTGTTTGTAGTATCTTGTTAAATTAATTTCCTCTCACTTTATGCTTACACTTTTTTTTTTTTTTTTTTTGTCTTTTTCGTTTTTATGGGTACCAGGGATCGAACTCATGACTGCCTGCTTGCAAGGCAGGCGTTTATGCCGCTGAGCTAAATCCCCAGCCCCAATGCTTATACTTTTTAAATTATTTCACCTTGCATTTTAAATGCACTTATCACCTTTTCCTAAAGCTTATTATTTCCATCAGATTTGGTACTACATAATGTTAGAACTTCTGTTTTAAGGAATCAGGTCTAGATTTCTATCTTCAATATTAGTTTAAAGAACAAAGAACCAGGAGCTCATCTTCTATTGAGCAGCCAATTGAAAGGCCCAAAGTGAAATTTATTTAGAAAATAATTAGGACCACAGTGTTAGGAAAAATTTTCTCAAGAACTATCTGTAATAAAAAATTGTTAAAATACTTAAAATTCTTTTACTGACAACACTGTTTCAGTGAAATGTATGAAGAGTGGGTTCTGAGGTAGTAAACTGAAAAGCACCAGAAACTGGGAATGTGTCCAAACTTACGAGGAACTGCAGATGCAAAGCGGTCCTTTTCTTTGTTCATGAGCCTCTGACGCAATTCATTCTGGCCACAGTTCTGTGGACCAATCAAGATGATAGGTCTTTTCCTATTTGCTGGCTGATGATAAAGTGACATTTCCTCGTAAGTTAAGATCTCTTCATTGTCATAATCTTTGAGAAAGAAAAAGTTTAAGCCCTTCAGACAGAATTATTGTCATGTCATGACAATATAAATACCTATAGATTTCCCCCCAACACTGGAAAGCACAATTTATCATTAAATTGCTTAACTTTTGTATCATGACAGAAACAATAAATAGTACGATACCACAAGCATGCTCCTGTGTTACTATATGCTTGCCATGGTACTATGAAAATGAATCAGAGGACAACATATTAATCATCCTAGAAAATCTTCGTTATCTTGTTTCATACAGAGTTGGAACATCTGATACAATTATACTGACCTTTATCTAAAATAGCTAGTTTGTAGTGAATACTTTGACAGAGAGTGTAATACCAGGAGATAACCTAATAAGGTTATATCACTTTTGGAAAATGCAGACACTAATATGTTACTAACCCAGAGTTATGATTTAAGATGATGTATAAATTATGATGGGTGGTGTGACATTCCTAAAGCCCATAATCCAAATGAAACCAGAACTGTTAAGTGGTAAAAATAAAGGCCAACAACCAGCAGTGTGCCTCGTCCCCATTCACTTCACTTGACTGGGAAGGGGCAGCAGATTGTGTCAGACTCAGCTGTAAATTCCGTGAGGGCAGTGAGTATCTTAGTCTGGCCAGTGCTCAGCAGTGCTTGATACAGAGTAGAAACTCAAACTACATTTGTTTAAATTCCAGCTCAACTGTTTATTAGCTTGAAAGACTTTAAGTACATCACTTTAGTATATGAATTTGAACTTATTAATCTGCAGCCTCCTGTCATGGAACAGAGTAGATGTTATTTTAATTTTGTTTCAGTACTGGGGATTGAGCCCAGGGCCTTTCCCCTGAGCTACATCTGTAGCACCACCCCTCAAATGTATATATGTATGCATGCATACATGTATATAGTACATGTTTTTTGAAATGAGGTCTCATTATGTAGGGCAGGCTGGCCCTGAACTCACTGTGTAGCTCAAGCTAGCCTCAAACTTGTGGCAGCCTTCCTTCCTCAGCATCCAAGTGCTGGACACAGGCACATGCCTACTTACAGCAGATATTATTAACGATAGATATTTACTTAAAAACATTAGTAATACTGAAACCATCAAAAATAACGTGTCTTTTATTTCTCACAATGTTTTTCTCTATTCTGAATCTAACATGCATGACCAGATTGGTACAGTATTCTGATCTACAGATTTTAAGTATCTGTTGATTTCGTATTTGCCAAGTTTTCTATAGCATTCCCACTCTTAGAGCTGGACCAGTTAATTTGAGTGTATCTCAAATAATAAAAAGTATTATTAATTACAACCAGAGGATAAAATAAAAAACCCAATAAATTCTAAATACATAATCTGTCAATTAGCATTAAAGAATGATGTAGAAACCATTTATTAAATGGCACCTCAGCTTTAGCATGATATAGGATACTTCAATAATTCGTAACATTTTATTTTCATTAGTTTAAATTTCAGTGCTCTAGAATAGTCCACATTCTTGAGCTAACAAGCTCTGTAAATTGTATAAAAAGGAGTTCCTTTATGTTATTATTTGTTTTGCTTCTAACATGAATCAAAGCAGGAGTAGCAAGTCAGATACCCAGGAAGACCAACCAAGAAGGTAATGAAATCAGATAATCAGATTGGGCTTATTAAAAACTAAGAGTGGTAGAGACTTAAATGGGCAGCAGGTACCAAATGTAAGGGTGACAACAATCATTCAGGTCCAATAGATTATTATCATTTGGCAACACAAGCCCAGTGTTATCAGAGCTTTTGATTTTAAGAGAACTTTAAACCTTTTTAATCTTAGCCATCAAAATGCGACAAAAAATATTCCTGTGTGCCTGACTTAGTTAAGTAGTGGGTATTGTGAAATGAGTTGCCTCTATAATAAGAACTATTATAAAGGAAATATTAATGTTTTACTTCAAACACAACTGTAAAAGAATTTGTTAGAAGTAAAAATTTTTTCTAATAATTTTAACAGAAAAATTAGAAGAAAACATCAACTTAGCATTAAACATACTAAATAGAACTTTACCTTTTATACCAGCTTTTTCCAGAACATAAAAAACACTGGGCTACCTATAGGACTCCAAAAGAAAATAACTTCTAATAAGTGACTTTCCTAAATATGTATATTATATTTAAATTAAAAACAGAACTAGAAATAAAATTCCCTGAAAATACTAGTTTAATTTCTCTTCAGCATCATCAGACTTAGGACTCCTTTAGACACAATTCCAGCTATGCCTGAGAGTAGAACTTACCATCATTTTTATTAGCATTATATAACACCTTCTTCCTTTTCTTTTTATTCTTCTTTGCACACCATAATTTCCCTGCAATTATAAATACGTGTAAATGTCATAATGTTCCATCAAACAAAGCTACATACTTTAAACTGAAGAACTCAAATTGTTTTTAATTTTAAAATGTTAAGCATTTATACTCTTCATAGAAACATTTTCTGGCACTTAAAATTTTCCATTAATTACACATTAACTCTTGGGACTGGGGATTTAGCTCAGTGGCATAAGCACCTGCCTTGCAAGCAGGCAGTTGTGAGTTCAATCCCCGGTACCAATAAAAAGGAAAAAGACAAAATAATAATAATAATAATAATAATCTTTATCATCCTAAAACAGCTTTTTTTTTCAATCTGGTTTCTTTATTACCCTTTCTATAACATATCTTTCTCAAAAGTTCTAAATAGTATGCAAATTTAAATATGTTTCCAAATGAAAACCCAAGAAACTTCTAACTGATGTCAAGTAGTCATGTCTAACCTGATTTTTCCGGCTCCTTATCTTCTTCTATAGTTTGCTTCATGGCTTCCCTTTGCTGCTGAAAGCTCTTCCCTTAAATGCAGGAAAAAAAAGGGCAAAACATTTAAGATAAAAAGATAAAAGCACTTTCTAATTGAGGGGAAAATGCTAGAAGTAAGTCTTCATATGTATTTCTCTTCCATATCTTTCTGCCTCAGGATAGTATCAGTTGTGATACATAAACTTCCAAATGTTGACCCCACTCAACCAATCCTATGATATGTATTACTGAACTATAAATCATCTGGTGTAAATAAACCAGTATTAGAAAATTTAATAGTTCAACTTTTAAAACATTTTCATTGAGCATTTATTATGCAGAAAGTACTACACTGGACCTTACAGTAGTTCTGATCACCTCGAATCATATCATATAAATCATATCCATTCTAGGCATTACCTTTCCAAAGTAGAACGTGGACATACATCCCCCTATGATTTCAAGACACTATTCAACATATTCCCTTGCACTTATTACTCGTAATTCTTCCTTTTGCTCGAATGTAAGTATATGGATTAATGATTTCCCCCATCTTTAAGTTACAAAGAGACATATAAATGAAAGTGTGTTTTTCCATGATTATGACTGTAATATAGGAAGCTTTTAAGGTGACTGACCATCCTCTTTTTAGTCCTCTGTTTTAACATCAACTCTCCTTCTTTCTTTTGGTGCTACAACTGAATCCAGACCCTTAAGAATGCTAAGTACATGCTTTACCATTGAGCAACACCCTTCTAAAATGTTCTTTCAATATTATGTATTTTCAGCCAGGCACAGTATCCACTTCTGTAATCCTAGAACTCATGAGGCTAAGGAAGAGGATTTCAAGTTTAAGGGCAGCCCGGGCTACACAGTGAGGCCTTTTATTTCAAGAAAATAAATAAAAATAAAATCAATACTATGTATTTTCTACTATATCATCTCTCACCTGGAACCAGCCCAGCGAGGGGCTGATTATCTTCATCTCCCTCCCTGTAGGCCTGCCACCAGTTTGGGTCTTCTTGACTGATCACGTGAAGGATATCCCCTTTCTGAAAGGACAGACCTAATTCTCGACACGGAACGTAAGGGTCATCTGAGGGATCATAGTCAAAGTGAGCTTTAACGTGGATCTAAAAGATAAAAAAAGGAAAAACAAAAACAATAAAATGTGACAAAATATTTAGCATAAGTATAATATAAATGTTATGGTTTCTCACCAGTGCTAAGAAATGAAATTTTAAAGTTGGTTAGTTAAGTAACAGTATTTGGGAGCAGTATTTGCTCAAGCTCATCTGTTGTTTTTTCTTTGTTGATTCAAAGATGTTTAAGAGCATTTCAACTACTATGTTGTTACCAGCTAAAATATGGGTACAAAGATGGTTAAACTGAAAGAAACATAATAAACTATCTGACCTGCGAAAACAACTGGCATTGCACTTTGGTGTGCAATTTCTAAGCCACTGACACCAGAAAACTCCAATTTTATTTGTTCATTTTTTGGTACTGGGAATTGAACTTACAGCCTCATGTTGCCAGCCAGGCGCTGTGCTGCTGAGCTACATCCCTGGTCCAAAACTCTGATTTTAAACCTTATTTCTCACAGAGGCAGTTCAGTGTCAGTTTAACTGGAGCTGTCACAGCCTTTTGAGCCCAATCTCAGCACAACAGTGCCTTAATGTCTGTCAATATTTCTTTAAAAGTTCATGAAACAAGTATACCTGAACTGCTAAAATTATCTAATTCAAGATTTTAAACAATTCCTCTTTACACACTACATAGGCTTACTAAGTAGGCTTAGCAGTCTGTAAAACACCTACTTTAGCTCATCAAATCCGACACCTATATGCAAGAGTGTTATTGCTCCACACAGCTAAAACTGCAAGTCTGGGCTCAGAGAGCCAACAATAAATTCAGTCTAAGGATTTTATAATTTGGGGCTGGGGATTTAGCTCAGCAGCTTATATAAGCACTTGCCTTGCAAGCAGGCGGTCATGAGTTCAATCCCCAGTACTAATTAAAAAAAGAAGAGTTTTATAACTGAGTCTATTTCTTTTTTTATTAGTACATATGTTTGCAGTACCCAATGTTTCCACTCCTCATGTAGAGTTGGTGCAAGGACAAAACACATCTTCTTTCCTTTTTTCACCCTCCCCCACATCTCTTGATCCCTTTCTCGCTTGAGAAAGGTGTACCACCCTACTTTGTATTATCTATCTTTTTATTTTGCTCTTTATTTACGATTTTTTAGTCCATTTCTAACTCAGTACTGCTTCATTTCTTTTTTGGAGGGAGTGAGGGGTTTGTTCAGTGTCTTCCTTAGTGGCCAGACTGCCCTTGAACTTCTGTGTTTGTTTGGAGACAGGCTCTTGCTATGTAGTGCAGGCTGGCCTTGAACTCACGTATGTAGCCTAGGCTGCCCTCAAACTGTGATTCTCCTGCCTCAGTCTTCCAATAGCTGGATTACAAGTGTGGACCACCATGCCGGGCCACACCCTTGAATGTATGATCTTCCTGTCTCAGGGTTCCCAATGCTAAGATTATAAGCCTGAGTGACCTTAACAAGCTCTGTTGCTTTTACTAAAACCATAAATGTGGTTATGTATCATAAAGACAACACTGCCATTCTTCAAAAATTAGAGAAGTCGGCATCTTTTTTAAGCACATGAAACACTGACAAAATGATGATGGACTATATGAAAGATACTTCCTTATATGAAACCTTGAATCCTAATGAGAGCAAAAGCTTCCCTCAGAAACTTGGTTTTGGGCCAGGGATATAGCTTAGCAGTACAGTGCCTGACTAGCAAGCGTAAGGTCCTAAATTAGATTCCTAGTACCAAAATAATTAATAATTTAAAAATTTTTTAAAAATCAGAATTTCTGAGGCACGATCAAGAAATCTGGTTTGAGGTATGATTAAAGATTATTTCTCAATTTCCAAAAAAATTTTTATTAGTTACTATAAATAAAAAATGAGAAAAGCCTTCTGTACACAAACAGCAAAACTGAGTTTAAAAATGACTCAGTTAAAAATGGAAAATACTGTAGCAAGGAGTGGGAGCACAGATCAGTAATTCCAGCTACTGAGGAGGACCAAAATTCAAGCCCAGGCCCTGCATTTTGACTGTGCTACTTATTGAAACCCTGTCTCAAAACAAATAGGAAAGAAAAGCAAGCAGGGAGGCTGGCAATGTATGGAGGTAGAGTGTAGGAGTGCCCAGTGTGCAGGAGGGCCTGGGTTCAGTCCGCAGTGGTGGGGGAAAAAAAAAAAAAGAAAGAAATAGCTAGGAAAGAGAATTCAAATAGAACTCAGTCCAGGGGTAACTACACTGATGTAACTGCACAGGTATAACAACAGACATATAATCACAGTGAATTTTCACAAATTAAATGCTTCTGTATAAGCAGCATCCAACAGGAGAACCACATTATAACCAGCACCTCTGAGGCCCCAGCTCCATCCCTTTCAGTCACTACCCACCTCTTCTCCTCCAAAGGGTAAATACCATCTTGACTTCTGCAAACACTGATTTCCCTGTGTTTTCTTCATATAAGTGGAACTGCACAAATTTGGTTCAAATACGGTTAAGCTATTTTACCGACTTTAACAGCCTTCTGCTGCATCTCACAAACGGCATGCTCTAAAGAACCTTACTTATAGTTGGTGTGAAACACTGGAATTGGGGCTGGGGATTTAGCTCAGCAGCATAAGCACCTGCCTTGCAAGCAGGCAGTCGTGAGTTCGATCCCTGGTACCGGTAAAAACGAAAAAGACAAAAAAAAAAAAAAAAAAAAAAAAAAAAAGATAAGAAAACACTGGAATTGTGATTAAAATCTTGAGCACTCTGTAGTCAGTGCCAAAAATGGACTTTAGAACTTTATGTATCATGAACACATACTATAAAATTATTATCCAAAAAAAGATTATGTTGGGCTACATTGAACAGATAAAGAGCTAAAAATGTTTGCCAGGAGAGTGCCACACACCTATAACCCCAGCACTCAGGAAACTAAGGCAGAAGAATCATGAGTTCAAGGCCACCCTGGAATACATAGTGGTCTCAAAAAAAAAAAAAAAAAAAAAAAAAAAAACAACCACCAAAAAATACAAAGAACAGTGAGGTGGAAATAACTGTGTTTATGACCCTTGCCACAGGTTAAAAGAATCACCCAGAAAGGCTTTTCTATCTATTCTCAACTAGGCAGTTCTCACTCCCTACTATCCTGATTTAAATGGCTTGGCATGGAGCTCCGCTTGTGTATGCTGGGAAGCAGAGGATAAAGGACACACTCTCCTTATATGACAAATTTACATAACCCCATCTAAATGTACTCTGCAATTAAGATCAAGAACAAGAACTAAAGCTCTTAATTTTTCCTAATGTATTTCAGAGTTGAGAAATTAACGAAATTAAATAGCTAAATAAAGTCTATAGACTGTCCTAACATATTCTGTAACTGCTGTTTATGTGTGTCACTGATCAATTCTTAGTTCTAGAAGTCATCTTCACTAACCTCTCTGTAGTGGCTTATTTTGTTTCCCACACAAAGGGATAAAAAAGCCATTGAAGGAGAAAAGCTAACCTTCATGGGAAAGCTCCCTGATCTGACAATCCTGCAATTAACTTCAGAACGATGCATCTGATTAAAATGGTGTTTGGGTTCTAAATCAAACAAAATCTTGCACTGAAATTTTTATTTATAGTTTTTATGGACTTATCTTTAATTTTTAAAATTGCAGAAAAGAAAACAGAGTTTCAAAAACTGCCTTTGTGACATCAAGCAACACTTTCCAATGATCTCCCCCCAATTCTGGGATTCCTCTTCTTCTGCAACATCAAAAAAGGAGTCTTATTTTTGTGTGGGGCTTGGCAGTGAACCAGGGCCTTGTATATGCGAGGCAAGAATTCTACCACTGAGCTAAAAGCTTAGCCCTTTTTATGTTATTTTGAGACAGGTCTTTTTAATTGCTGAGGCTGACCTCAAAAACTTGTTATCTTTCTGCCTCAGAATCCTGAATAGCTGGGATCAGAGGCCTGAACCATACTCACAGGAATTTTCTTTACTATGTATTCTCTTCCATTTTTCGCCAGAGAGAAGTTTAGGCTGTGTGGTATCTAACTGAATTTTATTAGGTATTAAAAAATATGAACTTAGGGCAACAGCAAACGTAACAGAGGAACTGCCCTAATTTGAAAAGGGGCACTGTTACTTATATCCATGGGCCTGTAGCACTCACAAGCAGAGCTTGACTGGGGATTGGACTGTGGGGGTTTACAGCTGAGTTGCTGGTAGGGAGTAGGGTCTGATAGGAAGAAGACAGTCACTGAGGGTGTACCCCTGAAGGGCTCATCTCCTTTCGCTTTCCACTTCTGTACTGCCATACCCCTCTACTAGGCCTTCTTCTTACAGCCTGCGGACATGGACTGAAACCTCTACAAACTGTAAGCCAAAATAAACCTCTCTTCTAAGTTGTGGATGTCAGGTATTGTGCGTATCAGTGAAGAAAGTGACTAAGGCACCAATCCAACATATTCTGAAATTCTCCATGTTTTTAGTTTCTGTCTTTTTTTTTTGGGTACTGGGGATTGAATTCACGACCTCACACTTACCCGGCAGGCACTTATGCCACTGAGCTAAATCCTCAGTCCCTGTTTTTATTTTGTAATAATTTATTTATAAAAATCTTACTGCATTATAAAATTCTACATCTTCCAAGTGACAAAAAATTACAATAAAAATTATGTAGTATGTTTTCTTTAACAATGAAATAAATGTATTTGCCTGTACTCTTCCTCAAATTTTCTTACAATCCAGTTATCTCTGCACTGCAATGCACAGAATAATAATAGCAACAGCTAATATTTATTAGTTATTAGTCTATGAATGTTCTGGTGTATATTTCATCAGTATTAAGCAAAGTAATTCCTTTTCATTTCAAATTATAGGGCATTAAATCAGATGAAAAATAGCCCTTTGCAGCACAAAAAACTAGTATGTATCCTCCATATTATTTCAAATATAGCATGGAATAATTTTAGAAGTTTACAGACCAGTGCAAGAAATCCAATTGTTGTTGTTAAGCCCAGGATGCCTCAAACTTATAACCCCTTTTGCTTGAACTTCTAAAGTAACTAGGGTTTAGGTGAGCACCACCACACCAGGATCAACATTTTTTAAGGCTCTGTGAGACAAGGACACCACACGGTTGGAACAAGGGGTATATTTCTTAAGACAAATGTGCCAGTCACTCAAGAAACAAAATGCAAGGGTGCTAAGACTTGCCCTCTACATTTTTGCCCTCTGCTACTGAAAGAGCTGCCATTGTTTGCTGCTATATGTGATACAAAAGAAACTTAACAATTTAGAGAATACTCCCTGCACAGCGTGTTCTTGCCCTACGTGCTGCCTTAAGTTACCTGTTGCTGAGACAAAATAGCCAACACTCAAAGTTACAGGAGGAAAGGTTTCCTAGGTTTCCTTGCCTCCGTTTCTAGAGGTTTCAGTTCATAAGTGGCTGGCTCCAGGCAGGGTGGCAGGGCAGCGGGGCATCACAGAGGAAAAACAGTTCATGGCGGCAGAAGGCAGAAAAGTAGCAAAGCAGCAGCAGTGACAACGGCAGCCCTTTCGGTCCTTTATACTTTATTTGAGCCTAAGTGTGGGTAACACTCACATTGAGGGTGCGGACCCTCATCCTAGCACTGCACCATGAAATACTCCCAGCATCATACACTCTAGACCCAGCCACCTCCAAAAACCCTATCTACCACCTCACGAGGCTTTGGGGAGACATCTAGAAATCAAGCATAACATGAGAATTCAGCAAGTGATTATAAAGGAGCTTCAGATAATGACTATTTTGTAAATCTATCTGAAATACTCATTTCTATTTATTTACTTTGGTTTTTTGGGACAAGGTTTTACTATGTAGTTCAGGTTGACTACAAATTCACAATGATCTTTCTGCTTCCCAAGTGCTGGGACTACAGGTGTGCACTACCAAGTCCGGCTCTCACATATTTCTTTCTAACATAACAAAAACCTTCAGTCAGAAAGATATCTTTTGCTACTCTTGTCAGACAATGACCTGTACAAGAATAACCCTCAACAAACTGCAAAATTTTATTACTATTGTTACTTTGCAGTGCTAGCACTAAATGAAGGGCTTCATGTATGTACGGCCAATACTGAGCTACATTCCCAGACCATAACTGAGAATTGTTAGAGAACTTTAAGAACGTTGTAAACCTGCCACCCCTCAAGCTATTTCATTTTCTAGTTAAGTAATTCCTAAGACTGTTCATCATGACTCAATTTTTTCACAAACCCTCCAACAGACATTTAATAATGAGAAGCAGTAAGACTTAATTAAGCAATAAAGGATAAGTTACTTCATTCTGATGTTGAAACATTCTGAGTTCTTCAATAATCTATTCTTGCATACAATAAGAAGCAGTAGATATCAACATACCGTTTAGGTTAATTTTATCCATTAAAGAAATGACTTTCAGATTCTGCATGCAGAGCAGAAAGAAATGCTGATAAAGTATCTTAATCTCTGACATGCATTCCAAAAAGTCATTTGCTCAGGAGTGCATTACTATCAACATTTAGGTAAGGCATATTCTAGTCCTGCACAGCTACTTTTGAGGTTCAAAGATTACTGACAGCAAAGTTTGAATTCAGACACTAGCTGTTTCTTCATTTGTTTTCCTATGAAGAATCATAAACAGAAGAAAGGTTGCAGATGCAACATCAATTTTATGTGTTACATTACAAACAACAAGAGAAAACAAAATGACAGTCAAAATAGAAAGGCTACACCTGTGACCAAATACTGAGGAAAGAAAATGAAGCTTTTCTTTCTTAAACTGCTAAGCTTTTATAAAGGTTAAGAATAATAACAGATACAATAAATCAGGCTACCATGTTAGTCTAGTATTATAAAGTCGATCTTCTTTTGTTGTTTGTTGAGAAAGGTTCAGGCTGGCCTCAAACTCACAATGAGTCTCCTGCCTCAGCCTCCAGAGTGTTGGGATGACAGGTATGTGCCACCACACCTGACTTAAAGTCTATCGTTTTTAACAACTCATAGTAGAATTCATATACTACATGACTTTGAATGTATTTATAAAACTACAGCCACAATTTTAAAATGTTTTTATCACCACCCCAAAGTCCCACTATTGACAGTAATTATTTCCATTCTCTCATTTCCCATGCCTACATCTAGGAAATGAGGAGAGAATTGAAAACTAGGCTAGTTTCTGTTTTGTCAGATTTACTTAGTTTGGATATTTCACACAAATAAGCCAATACAGAGCCTTTGACTAGCTTCTTTTATTATCATAACTTTTTCAAGTTCATCCATACTGTAGCATACCTACGTACTTCAGGTTTTTTTAATATCAAATAATACTCTATTGTATGAATAAATTACACTTTGTTTTCCATTTATTCATCTTTGGGTTATTTAACTTTCTGGCTATTATGAATAATGTTGTTATAAATATTTATACAAAAGTTCTGTGAATGTATGTTTTGTATTCTCTTGGATATATATTTAAGAAAAGAAATATTGTGTTACATAGTACATAATTAAGTACATCCTTTACTGCAGCTGAGTAAATGTTCAATATAAAAGCAATATATTTTAAACAAAGAGTTACATGTACACAATTTTTTTTTTTTTTTGAGACAAGGTAACTTTGTAGTTTAAGCTGGCCTCGAACTCACAACAATGTTCCTGTCTCAGCCTCCCCAGAGCTGAAATTAAAGGTATGCATCACCATGTCCAATAACATGTATATAATATATGTAAAAGTACTTCTATACTAAGTATGTTTAAATTTTTTTAAAAAACCACTTATAACTAGAAAAAGACAAAACTCAATGTTGGAAATAAGAAAATTTCTAAAAACTATTTTCTGCTTTTTACTTTAAAAAAGTTCAGAATTACTAAATTTGAAATGTTGATACATTTATTTAAATAAAAACTACTGAATTTACTTCTTTACTTGACTGCAATAAACTGACGTTTCTAACACAAATAATTAAACAACAGCCAAACAAAATAAATAGTAACATGAAAAAGTCACTTACTACGGTTTCCTTGGCAGGAGGAGGCTTGATCTGTTGACTAGGAATCAGAACAAATGTCAAAGTACCATGCATATCAGACTGTAATAGAAAGATGAGGTTGCTTTAAAAATCTGTATTATGAAAATCATTCCATGGTCTTATGAGCAATATTCCCCAAACTGGACTATTCCAAGACTCCTTCAAAGCCTTTGTTCCTCTAGACAAATATAATAGATAAACAAATACACGTCTACAAAAAGATGCATAGACTGACAGATGGACACACAGACAGAGAGATAATTAAGCAAGGGTCTATGTAAATAGTTTTAGCTTTTAACTGAAATAAATACGCTGCTGATGATCTTGGGTCAAACTTAAAAAGTTTCTTCCAGGGATATAGCTCGGTGGCACAAGTGCCTGCCTGGCAAGCACGAGGCTGTTAGTTCAACCCCTGGTACCAAAAAAACAAAACAAAACAAAGTCTTTGTTCTATTCTTTTTTTTCCTGTGTACAATGGGGGCTTAAAATGAGCCTCACACACACGCTATGCAAATACTCTGTCACTGTCACTGCCTTATTATTTTGTTTTGAGACAAGATCTCACTAAACTGGGCTGGCCTTGAATTTGAGGTCCTCCTATCTCATTCTCCCAAGTGGCTTGGATTACAGGTGTATATATATACTCCCAGCCCTACAAAGTGTCATATACAAATATTCTCAATTTCAAGATAACTTGTTTTTGGTTTTTGGTTTTACTCACCAGAAGTTAAGAGCCCAGGACAGTTTCTAGCCCTATTTTGCTTTATTGGTATTGCCAAACCAATAAACTAGGGCTCAACAGAATTAGGGATATGAAGGATGTTTTCTAGATTATACAATAGTTATTGGCAAGTAGTAGAGGTTTTACTTTAGCAACTGATGCTAAGAATATAATTTTGAATATAAGAATATAATCATAATTAAGAATATAGATTTTGGTTTATGAGGTGTACAAAGTGATCACAAATTGTCTTCAAAAGATAACTATAAGCCTAGCATGAATAAGGCCCTGGCAACACCACCACCACCAACAATAAAGATAAGTCTTCCTAATTATAAAGCACAGTATAACAGAACTTTCTTCAATAATAGAAACATACTATAGCTATAGCTGTATCTTTATATAGTACCCATTATTGCCCTTTAACATCTGAAATAATGTTAGTATGAATAAGGAACTGAATTCTACTACATTGCACAGTGTAGGTCTACAACATTATGATTATCTTATACTCTTAGGGGGAAACAATTGTAGATAGGAAAAATAAATGAACAGAAAAGTCATGAAGAGCTGGCATGGTAACACATATCCTTGTAAACTTAAACACTCTGGGAGGCCGAAGCAAAAAGATTAAAAGTTCCAGCCCAGTCTGGGCAACTCACCAACCGAGCAAGAAACCTGCCTCAAAAATAAAAATAAAAAAGCGGCTGGTCATATGGCTCAGGGCAAAGGCACTGCATTCATTCCCAAGCACCCCGCTCTAACAACAACAACAAAAAACAAAAAAAAGAGAATGTGGATTTATTGTTGTCCCAGTAGCTAGCACACACTGACATGCACTCAATAAATATTCACTCAAAGGATTAATTTGTTACATTACTACTGGTGTCAACAGCAACATACACATGGCAGTAAGAAAGCTCCAAGTAAAATATTTTTTTTTCCAAGTAAAATATTAACAGTGGTGTCCACCAAAAACAAATTCTACCAACAAATACTGGAAAGGACTTGTATCGTAGGAAAATAGGGCCAGAAACTGTCCTGGGCTCTTGACTTCTGGTGAGCATGGGGGCAGAGGCAGGTATTGGAGACTGAACCCTGGGCCTCTGCACTGAGCTACGCACCCAGCCCTTTTTATTTTTACTTTGTGATTCAATCTCAGTAAGTTTGCCAGGAGGGCCTTGAATTTGTGATGCTTTTGCCTCAAACTCTGCGTGCTGGGATTACAGGCAAACAGGTTTTAAACAACTATTTTAAATCTAGTAATGAGGAAAGAATAAGTAAATTATAATAAATTATTATTCTACTTATGTCAACTTACCAACAAATCAAAAACCTCATTGACGTCTTTCCCTCGAATTTCAATGCCATTAATCTCCAGAACTTCATCTCCTTCATGTAAGAGACCACTTTTCTCGGCAGCTCCTCCTTTTACTATTCGGCTAATAATGACAGAATCCATTTCATTACGGACAGTAGCACCCTAAAAAGATCAAAGTGTAGTTTAAGTATAAAAATAGGTTTTTGTTTAAATACTTACTTTTTTTTTTTTTGGTACCATGGATCAAATTCATGACCTTGTGCTTACTAGGCAAGCGCCTGGGCCATTGAGCTAAATCCCCAGCCCAAAGTACTTATTTTTAAATTATAATTTTTCTCTAACACTTTTTCTGTGCCATGTATGTGCCAGTTCATAGATTAGTAACTGATCTCTTTTGTTATATTTACTTTGTAAATAAACAACTTTAAACCCAAGTGAAAAATTTTTTTGTAACAATACTAGTCTTCAACTATCTTGGGAAAAAAGTTTACTGACACAGCTGGAGTAATAGCTGGCATATCAGTCCCCCCGTATTTTCTGCTTTAGAAACATTCCATCAGAACTCTAACATCAACTGGATTTTTGAAGCATACCGCAGTAGAAAAATACACTTGTTTACAAACAATGTGTGAAGACCTACAATCATATTTATTCTGCATATATGCTGAATCCTACACAAATTATAATACATTTAGGCATAAGTAACAAGCATACTTCTAACTATAAAGAATCTTCTTAAATTCAAAATATGATGAAGGGATGAATACCAACCTGGCTCACTATGCAAATGTTAAGTATTTTAGCTATATCCAACTCACATTAAAATATATTAAACATTAATATTTATTATACAAACTAGATACATAAGTGAAAATATATGTTCAAAAATTGGGACTATAACATATAGATTAAACTTGTTCCCTTAAACTTTTATTTTAACATTTTATCTTGACTTTTCAATTTCTATCCTTTTGGTGGGGAGGACTTTTCAAACTACAGTCCAAGACACCACGATTCAAAAATATTTCTTTAATAATAAAAGAAAGAAACTTAAGGCAATGAGAGTAGACAAAAGAGAAGTTTTATATATAAAAACTGTAAAATAAATATTAAGGTATAGTCTTAAGAGTACTTAAAATATGTAAGTAATTGTGTCTCATTAAACTTAACAGTATTACAAGACCAGAATTTTTGCCTTTCTTTTGGCGGAGGGCAGGATTTTTTGAGACAGGGTTTAGCTATGCTGTTCAGGCTGGTCTTGAAGTGACTATGCAGCCCAAACTGGCCTCGAACTCCTAGCAATCCTCCTGCCTCAGTCTCTGGAGTGCTGGGATTACAGTCATGAGTGATCACATCCGGTTAAAGAAAAAAAATCAGAATTTCTAATCATTGTTCCTACAAAGTTGGGAGAATGAAATTACTTATCTTTTCTTTGTTCCTCCGCAAACCTCTCACAAGCTATTATTTTCATCTAGTTATAGGTGAGAACAAGATGATGAACAAGTTTTGTTAACTAAGTAAGGGATATGAGCAAGTACAGAAAAATTCCAACGAATTAACCTTAAAAGAAAAAAACCACCGAGAATGTACGAGTTGTCAGCTATCTGAGAGGCCTGTGTGTGGAAAGAAAGATGAGACGTGAACACTTACCAATGGAATATCACGAGCCTTTTCTATACGAACTATTTTTACAGTTTCTCCTCCATACTGGCCAATGCTTTCATAAACTCTGTCATCTGCAATGGGCTCTAGCTGCATCTCCTGCTCAGCAACCTTATCATGGGCCAGTAAAAGTGCCTGTTTCAAAGAAATTGACAACATTTTACAGCAGTACTTATTTTTTGAAGACTTTTAATCATGTACATACGATTCCATTCATTAAATCTTTAAAATTGCCGTAATTAGTTGTATATCCATATCTGTTTCCAAATTCTGCAACTCAAGCACAGATCAACCTGGTATATTTGCTATTGATAACTAAAGATGTATTTAAAAAAAAAAAAAGGATGTAATGAGTGTATTAAGGCATACATTGAAATGGATTATGAAAAGCCCAAAACGCTTCTTAAACTTCAAAATAAAATGAATTTAAATGCCTAAACATGCTAGATAATTAAAGTATATGGAAAATACAGACCCTACCCCAAAAAAACAAATAACTTTTGTCCAATTTTAGAAGAAAATAATGTGTTTCAAAAATAATTTGGTGGGCCAGGGATACAGCTCAGCAGCATAGCATCTGCCTGGCAAGCATGAGGTCCCCCACAAAAAAAAAAACCAAAAAACAAAACAAAACAAAAAACTCACAGCACCATCATCATCATCACCACCATCATCATCATCATCATCATCATCATCATCATCATGACTTGTTTAATTTTAAATAAGAATGTTTATGATCACAATTACTTTGCAGAGTGGGTTGTAAATATCAAGCCTGGCTAGATAATGTTTGAGGTCTCGTCCAACCTCAAGAGACTTAAAAAAAAAAGATAAATCATGTAGGAAATGCCAAAGATAATGCTCTGCCCATTTTCTACCTGAATATGTGGTGCATTCAGCAAAGCAGTTAATTCCTGTCCTTCTTTCTGATGGGTTGGTTTCAAAACAGTTTGTACCTAAGAAACAGAAACAAAGATTATTCTCTCTACCTTACAGAAAATACAGTAGCTCCTATGTAGGGTGATTTTTTTTTAAATCTTTATTTTTTTCGTACCAGGAATCAAACTCAACACCTTGCACTTGCTAGGCAGGTGCTGTGCCACTGAGCTATATCCCTAGCCTTCCTGCCTTTTTTTATTTTTTATTTTCAGGCAGGGTATCAGTATGCAATCCAGGGTAACCTTGAACTCAGTACGTAGCCAGTCTGCCTCAAACACACACTGATCCTCTTACTTCGGCCTCCCAACTGCTGGGATTACAGGTATTGCTACCAATCTAGCCTTTTTTTTTTAAAGTACAAATCAAAAATGGTAAAACATACTTGTAACAAATAGATGAGATAACCTCAATCTGGATCTGCATTCACATTTCTGTCCTAACTTTTTAAATATACTGTCTTAACATTTTATTTACTTATTTGGTATCTAGAATTAATTAAGATCTCATGCTTGCCAGGTAGGTGCTTATGCCACTGGGCTATACCCTCAACCTTAATGCTTTTTTTAAAGCTTGTCTAAATTATCAAAGATTTGTCAATTGTTCTCTTCAAAGAATCAGCTTCTTTTACTACGAAATCTATTTTTCCTTCCATTTTAATAATTTAATTCTTCCAACTGTATTTTCCTTTACAGTGTTTACTCATTTGATCTTTAAATTCAGTTCATTTATGTTCAACTTTTTTTTCCCCAAGACATGGTCTTGCTATGCAGTTCAGGTTGGTCTTGAGCTCACTTTAATCCAGGCTCACAACAACCCTCCTGCCTCAGCCTCCCAAGAGCTGGGTCAATCTTTTCTATTCTACCATATTTAAAAGTATTGTACAAATTTGCCTCTTCTCACTGCTCCAGATTACACTGAAGGTTTTTATTATCTATGATTGTCATTTTTTATTCATTTACCATCCCCAAGTTCAACTGCACACCAAAAATAATGTGGATTACATTGTTTGTGTAGTAATGTGAATAACAAAACCAAAATCATCACTATTGATAAAATCATGCAGACAAATCTATGCCAGGCATTGTGATATACACTTGTAAGCCTAATACTCTGGGAGGTGGAGACAAAAGAAAACAAAATTCAAACAAAATTCAAGCCTGGACAACTATGTAAGATCCTATCTCAAAATGAAAGATAAAAAAAGCACTGCGGCGAGCGGGAGCTGTGTGGCACAAGAATTACTGTGAGTTTGTGGCCAGCCTGGGCTATACAGTGAGTTCATGGCCAGCCTGAACTATATAATAAGACTCTGACTCAAAAACCAAAAAAACAAAAAACAAAACAAAATGGATGGGGGGGGGTGAGGTGGATGAGAATGTGGCCCAGTGCACAGGCCCTAGTTCAATTCTCAATACTACAAAACTAAACAAAGAACACGGACATAGTGGTGCATGCTTATAATCCCAGCACTGAGGCAGGAGGATCAGCACAAATTCTAGGCTAGTCTGGGCTACACAGTGAGTTCAGAAGCAGCCTGAACTACATAGCACAACCCCATCTCAAAACACAAAAAAACAAACGAACAAAAAAACTAAATAAAGAAAAACTCAATCCATATATAGGAATTTTTTGAGGAGGGCATACTAGTATAGAGCCCAGGGCCTCCACACTGGGCTGTATTCTTGGTCCTTTTTGAAATGTTAAATTCTGTGATAGGGTTTCATTAAGTCACTAAATTGCTGGTATGAAATGATCAATTCTCCCACCTCAAACTCCTAGACTACTGGAATTATAAGGATGGACCACCACACTTAGCTACATATAGTACCCTTCAATGAGAATAACTTGTGATTAAAATAGAAACATCAATTTCATAATATTGTATCAGAAATTCCCCAATTAAAACTAAGAGATGATAAAGATTAATTTTACAAGTATGTCCAACTGGTGATATTATCTAGAAAATGTTTCTAATAGTGGAGCTCTGTGTATACAGAAAATTATCTTCATTGAAAATTATTATTTTCTTAGTTCCACTGAAATCTAATGGACATGGGAGTGGCATTTAACTCAGTGGCATAAGCGCCTGCCTGTCAAGTGTGAGGTCATGAGTTTAATCCCCAGTACAAAAAAACCAAACAAACAAAACAACCTAATGGACAAGGATTATGGTCTGAAAATATGGGTAATTAAAAACTGAATTTTAAAAGTGTTTTCCCTTTCAAAATTTATTAAATCTACATTTTCTTCCCCGTGTACCAGGGGCTGAACTCACGCCCTTGCATTTGCTGGGCAGGTGCTTATGCTGCTGAGCTAAATTCTTGGTCCTAAATCTACATTAATCTAAAATGAAATCTTGCTGGGCATGGTGGTGCACACCTATAATCCTAGTACTCAGGAGGATGAGGCAGGCAAATTGTTCCAAGTTTGAGGCCAGCCTCAGCTACATAGTGAGTTAAAGGCTGGTTTGAGACCCTGTCTCAAAAAAACAAAAACAAAACAAAAAAATGTATAGTCCCTGATCACACATCATTTGATTGCTGGAGAAAGTAAATTTAAGGGAGAAACAATTTTGTGTTAAAAATGTAACAAAAGGATATAAAAGATATGAGTAAACGTAAAAAGAATTTTCTGTACTAAATATTTATTGTCATTTCTACTTTGTCTCTTCCTAAACATCACTGAGCATTTCCTTTCTAATGAAGCTTCAAATACCTTTAAGTACTTATTCCCATTCTCTTATTAACCCAGGTGTTACTCATTCGACTGTTAAAGACAGATTCACTTCTAATCTTGTACTTTTCTCTAGCTATACTGTACTACTTTTCTTATGTTCCTTCAGAGGCAATTAGAGAAACAGCATATTAAGTGTGAAAGATTAGAAAACAGACAACCAAAAGGAAAGAAATAAAAGTAACAACTTTTATTATGCTTAGGGATGATCAACTTGGTATATATTCTTCCTTTATTTTAATACTTCTTTCTAACAAAGTATTCGTTTAAATTAGAACAAATCATACACTCCCTATTTCTCTATGGTTTATATTTTATTACTTCTTCCTGTTTATTTCAGTGGTTACAACCTCCAGAAAAATGCTGAATAGTAGTAACAGCGTGGAGGTTATACCATTTTACTACAGGATTAAGTGATAATTTGGTAAGATGTCATTGGTTCTGGCATTATTTTTTGTCAAGTTAACAAAACATGCTAAAACTGATTTCTCCTCCCATATATTCAGGTGAGTTATGTTAAAATATTTACTGGGGGGTGGGACATGGTGACATACACCTGTAATTCCAGCACTTGAGAGGCTAAATAAGACAGAAGGATGATCCCAAGTTCAAGGCCAGCTGGGGCTAGTCAGTTCAAGACCAGCCTGGACTACATAGTAAGACCCTGACTCTAAAACAAAAATGTTTACCAAAGTGCATCCACTGAAAGGTAATTTAAAACTTATTAATGTAATTTACTTGACCTTCAGGATCAAGGCTCAATCTTTTAATATCCTGTCCTATTCTTAACTCACTGTTTAAGAAATATGCCAGGCTTTCTCAGTCACTGTCACCTCTGTGCAATAGAATGTGTTCTCTCTTCTAGGTTCCTGGTAAATTCCCAGTAATCCTTGAAGACTCAGCAAATTTCCTTCTATTTTTCTTCCTCTTTTCTATCACTCTTCACGTTCTGACCTTCATCCTCCACCCAGAATTCAGCACAACTCTCTGTGCAGCTGGCATTTTCTCATACTGCCATTAGAAAGTCGTTCATTGCATTGTAATTATTTACTTGATCATGTTCCTCCACAGTGATAACTGAACTTTCCCAAGTTTAGAGGATTCTGGACTGTTTATAGTTTATATTATGTGACTGTTACAAACATTTGTTCTTAAGTCTTTGTGTCACGTTTTCTTTTCCCTTGGGTAGAGGCCTAGGAGTGAAACTGTTAGGTCACAGTACGTGAGTGTATCAGCTTTAATAGATATTGTCAAATATTTTGTTCAAAGTGGTAGTACCAATTTATATACTACCAGGTTTCTTTCTACTGCTCCATACATTCACCAACATTTGCTATTGCCAGATTTTTAAATTTTAATTATAATAATTCTAGTGCCGATGCAGTGACATCTCATTTGGTTTTAATTTGTATTTCTGCTGGGTAATCATACTAAATATCTTGGTATGTTTGGGGGTCATTTGGATTTTATTTTCTTTTTTTTGAGACAGAGTCTTAGCTATACAGTCCAGACTGGCCTCAAATTTGTGGCAATCCTCCGACCTTGGCCTCCCGTGTCCAAGTACCGAGATTATAGGTGTGCGTCACCAAGCTCAGCTCTGGATATTCTTTTTTTAAATAGTGTCTGTTCTTTTGTCATTTTAAAAAAACTGAGCAGATGCATTAATTTGCAAGAGTTTTAAAAATACATATTCTAAATGTGAATTTTTAACACACATATTTAAACACACGTATATAGTACTTTTTTGTATCAGATTTAATACTCCTCTTTGATGATGATGTATGTGCCTGTCTCACAAGTGTACTGAATGGCAGGGCTACTTCACAGTCCTGACCGACACTAGGCCAGGGGAGACAGTACGGCAGGACCTTCCCACACTACACCACAACCATAGGCTGTGGCCTGACGCAGTACTCAAGATTTTAAGACTAGTTCAGCCTGAGTCACTATCATTTCCCACCTACCACCAGCAATGCCAAAGCAAGCTTTTCTCAGTTGGAACAGTCATGAACTCTTGTTTTTCTCATTCTCTCCTCTACTCATTGTTCTATTCAGCAAAACAAAGGCCTAGCAGCTATGGAGAGATACCTTCCCCCAATCAGGCAGAGGAAGGAATGATCACAATGATTTATTTGGTATTCTTTTGAATTCTTCACAATAAAAATACTATATTTATAAATAGTATACAAGCAAAGTAATGTTGTTCTGTTAAATAAGTAACTTTCAGGAAAATGATTTAAAACTATGAATTAGTTTTTTTGGTTTTGTTTTGTTTTTTGTTTTTGTTTTTTGGAACCAGGGACCAAACCTACAACTTTGCACTTACCAGGCAAGCCCTTGAATCACTAAGCTAAATCCCCAACCCCTGAATTAGTATTTTTAAATAGAAAAGTACTGCACATAAGTTATAATTTTTAAATTAAGAGACTACAGTGGTAAGTGTTTTGTTTAGTTTTGTTTGAAGTGCTACAGATGGAACCCAGGCAAGCACTTTACCACTGAGCTGCGCCCTGTTTGATAACTTTTAATAAAAATACTGTATAGTTCATGTCAATAATAAAAGATGACCTCAAGAATAGGTTTCAGTCAGCTCTTTTTAATGTCTGGTGGGTAGAAAATTTCCAAATTCCCTCTCCATGAACAGGTCCTTAGATTACTCTCTCCTGGGACCCAGGCAACATTAGGTTTTTCTCTTATTACTTTTGCATGTAGGGTATTCGCCATGTTAATCACCTTAATAAGGAAAATCTCTCCCTTTGGGACCACTGCACTAATCTGAAAAGTATATCTTAACCTAATTTATAGATCTATAGTTTGGAAGTCATACCCTCCCCAGTCCCATTTCCCTCCCATGTTGGGATTCAATGAAATACAAGATGGGATTTTTAAAAATGAGTGTATAAATTTTAAAATTCTATTACAGGAAAAGATGTATTGCCATTAATTTCCTTCAAAATACTCCCTCCACCAGCCAGCTGTGGTGCTGCAGGTCTGTAACCCCAGTACTCAGGATGCTGAGGCAGGAGAATTGCAGCACACAGGAGGCCAGCCTCAGCTACAGAGTGACTTCAAGGCCAGCCTGAACTGCACAGTGAGAATCTGTCTCAAAAACAAACAATACAAACAAACAAAAATACTCCCTTCTCTCTTCAAACACATTTATCCCATCATTCTTGCCACTTTCTAAAGCAATTCTGAAAGTTCTCTTTCGTGTCTTTAGTTGTACTGTTGCAGCTACCTCAGTATCTTGAAGTAATTCAAAATATTTACTTTTAATAGTCATTCTGATTTGGGGGAAGAGCCTCAAGTTGCACAGTGCCATATCTGGTGAATAAGTGGTTGAAGACACACCGTAATACTTTTATGAGCCTGCCTTTCCCTTAGATAGCACTTGGAGGGCAGCATCCACTGTATTTTTAATTATGCTTTGTGAAGACACCCTTGAATGAGAACCTCCAGAATGGTTTTAGACAGTAGCAAGAAAAATGAGATGAGTGAAGACAGGAAAGGGAAAAAAAAAGAGAAGAGAGGAGAAATTTTAACGAGATTAATGGCAATTTGTCTTTTACTATAATTTTAAACATTTACTATGTATTTTGATTACATTTCACACATTTACATGGTAGGCTTATCAAATTACTACTCTAATATCAAAATAACTTTAAATTTTATCATAGTGACAGAATGTCCATACCCCACAAAAGATGGTTTATACACTTTCGAAATCTTCAATTTAAAAGACATTTGCTTATTAACATGTTAGTCTCAATGTATATTAAAATAATTTGGAAATTCAGTTTTTAACAGGAGAAATACTTTAAAATACATGGGCCAGGGATATAGCTTAATGTCACAGCACCTACCTAGCCAGCACAATGTTGAGTTCAATTTCCAGTACCAAAAAAAAAAAAAAAAAAAAAAAAGAAAAGAAAAAAGAAAAAAGAAAGAGAAAAAACCTACATGTAATAAATTTTAGGAGTTATGGTTTATAATCCCCAACTATCAGGTGTAATTTATCCAACCAGTATTCCTTTCTTAGTTTATAATGTATAACGCTTAAAATTAACAAAACCATACTAAAAGCATTTAATAACTTTGCCCCCCAGTTACTGAAATTTGCTTGTTATAATCCTATAGACAAAAGTAGCTCTCTTCATGAAATAGAACTCAAAGTCTAAGCATAACATTTTTCAAAATATAATGCACGAAGCAAAATTTTCCTATCATAATTACCAACATGTGATCAGTAGTAATTACTCTAAACTATTACTTTCCAATCATACTATCTTACCATTACTAGTAATTATTGTAGATGGCAACATGTTCACAATACGTACCTCTTGCGCAAGATCTTGGGCGTTGGAGACTAGAGGAAAAGGAGGACTGGCCTTGTTCATGTGTACTGTGACAGCATTGTGTATTTTAAATGCATTCTGGAAATCTTTATTTTGTACAAGTTGTAAAAGCAATAAAATATCTTCCTGGCTCTGAGAATCTACCAAAGTATGTTGAATATGTTTAAGTGAAGAAAATAAGTCTTCCACTTCTGGTAGGAGAAAGAAAAGGTATCCTAAAATTAATTGTTTTGTTCTTAATACAACATGTGTTTTAAGATAAAGTTTCCTGAACCAGTAACATTATACTATGTTTTTGGAAAAAAAGCAAACATATTTTTGAAATACAATCATCAATGTCATTTTATTGAATTTTAAGTAAAACTCTGAAAAATATACAACAGAATAACATAGTTTTTTTAAAAAGTATTATAAACATACTTACTATAAAAATGAGAACACAAAAACTAATAATGTAAAACCACAACAATCTCGTTACCTGATTTTTTCCTGAACATCTTACCATATTTTCTTTTTTCACTTAAGAGTACATTGTTGTTTTTGCCGTGTCAAGTGTTTCAAAATGTTATATACATTATGTCTCCATAGCACTTTACATGGCTAAACCATAAGTTACAATAACCACTATGCACTGTTCAACATTTAAATTGCTTCTAGTTTTGGTACTATAAGTTAATAATAAATATTTCAGCACATAGTAATCATCGGTGCATATAAATCTGTTTAAGAGACTGATGTTTTCTTAATTCCTAGAAACACAACTTTTACATAAGATTCTGACATTTTAAAAAGTCAAATAAGAGAAGCAAAGATGGCTGATAGATAGCAGCAGGCTACAGAGGCTCCCTGAGATAGTCAACTTAGAATTCAACATAATACAGCATGGGGAGTCTCAAACAGAGGGAGATGAATTGTCTTGTCCCAAGAAGAAACTAAAGTGAGAAGAACCAATCAAACATACAGTCCCAGTGCTACTACTGAAACAGCTGAAGGTTCAGTGTTTCCGATGCAGGGCCTGAATCCAAGCAGCGGTGACTTACTGAGCCATCGGATATCCCGCCACTTCGACTCACTGGAACTGAGGATAGGAGTCGGCGAGCTGAACAAAGACCTGACTGAGCTAGCAGGGAACCTGCATCGACCTGTGGTGAGTGATGGGAATGAAACCATTCCACAGAGAAGGGGGCTCCAACAGATGATATTTTGGGACCAGGCAGGACTGGCAAGAACAAGGGGCAGCAGTGACTTCAGTCAATTGTTCCCTACCCAAACGGGATTGGTGGGGTGAGCTTTGCCTGGGTCACATGGCCTCGCTGAGACCCAATTGGTTATCCAAAATCAATTGCCTATGGCGGTGGCAGCACACACTAAGGCAGTGAAGGCTTCAGCAAGTTGACTGACCCGGAGGGGAGGGACCAGCATACACTGCCCCTGTTTGCACACTGCAGTGGAAGGGTCACCTAGCCAGTGTGCTTCAGCAGAACTGTAACCAACAAAGAAAGAAACTGGGGCCTCCTGGAAGAAACACAAAAGATGGGAAGAGGAAGCAACAAGAATAAGTCCCCAGGTTCCAGCCCTGAGGACATTGACCCAGGACAGGTAAATACAAAGGAGAATGAGGACCGCAAACATTCAATATCAGACACGGCACCAATGGACATAAAGAGATATCTTTGGAACCTCATAGATAAGTTTAAAAGGGAAATATTTAGCCAAGTAAAGCAAGATATAAGAAGACTAATAAAAGAGATGCTAAGCAGCTCTCAAGCAGATACAGACGGAAGAATGGAGGAACTCAAAGGACAGAACTATATGATGAAGAATATAAAGAAAATATACAATACATGAAGCAGATTCAAAGAGGTTACCAGGAAATTAACAACTCTATGGAAAGATGGCAGAACTGCTTGAAAGAAACTAAGGATAGATTATCCAAACTGGAAGACAGGTTTGCAATATGGGATTATGAAAGGAGAAACTTTTTAAAAATAAGGAAACAAGCAGTAACAATACAAAAGCTAGAAGAAGACAAGAGGATCTATAACTGGAGAATAAAGAATGTGAATGAAGAAGCAGGGGTACAAACAAAGGAACTACAAAGGCTATTCACAGAAATAATTAAGGAAAACTTCCCAAACATAGGAAAAGGAAATGACAGGCAGATGTATGACGCATACAGAACTCCAGCCACCAACAACCAAAACAGAGCTACACCCAGGCATATAATAACCAAATCCCAGAAATTCAATATAAGAACAGAATATTAAAAGCTGTTAGAGACAAGAAACAGATCATCTATAAAGGAAGGCCCATCAGAATCACAACAGACTTCTCAACACAAACCATCAAGTCACGAAGAGCCTAGAGCAAAATATTCCAAGCCCTGAAAGAAAATAACCTCCAGCCCAGACTGATACACTCTGACAATCTGTCTCTAGAAATTAATGGAGAAACAAGATGCTTCCAAGACAAAGAACTTGGGAAATTCACAACCACCAATCCAACTCTACAGATATTACTGAAGGGCATTGTAGAGAGAGAGAAAAGTACTAGGATTCCAGGAGCAGGGGCAAAGAGGCCTCAATGAATGGAGCAGAAAACAGAATGAAGAAGACCAGCAGACAACTGATAGCAAAAAACAGTATAACAGAAATGAGGCAGAGAAGGTTGGTTATAAAATCTAATATAGATGGTCTTGATATACTACATTTAAAAAAAAAAAAGAACCACATGTGGAGTAGATCAGGAGGTAGGGTCCACCAAGATGCTATTTTTAGGAAATATAATTAACATGAAAAACAGTACATGGACTGAAAATCAAATATGAGAAAACAATGCTCTATGTGACAGAGAACCAGAGAGTAATAGGGGCAACTAGACCAGTTTGTGGATAGGTTGGAAAGACAGGCTTTAATAGGTAAAGGAATACGATTAGAAATCAAGTCCAGGAGAGAGAAGGTTCAGAACCACTTAGGTAAATAGCAGGTTGCCCCCCCCCCCAATTTAAAACCAAGGGTCTTGGTACCCTGGGGAAATGAAAGGGGAGGGAGACTCTTAAAAAAGATGGCAGAAGATATTGTTAATAGTGCATCAGGATTTAAAACCCACATTACTCGCACTACTCTGCTTAGATAGATTTTATTCTGTCCCAGTTTGTCTACTTGTATTAGATTTCAGGGCACAGAGAGCTATCCCAAAAACATCAGAATATAGCACAGTAATCATCTTTAATTTTCTATTTACTTAATCTGTAGCCCTGTATGACTTATACTGTTTTATCATGATTGATCTTAGTTAAATCTGGTTTGATTGCTGTTTGTTATCGACAGATTTTATTCAAAACTGTTATGATTGATAGTATCAAGTCTGAGAGTATAGGCAACTACACTGAAGATGTCAAGACTCTACAATACACATTCTGGTTTGATTATGGATGCCTGTTTTTGAAGTTTTATACTATATACAAAGTTGTGTTTTTATTAATACTGTTATGTACTGATATATTCAATTATACTATGTCTGATGATATAGCCAACTCTATTGAAGATAACAAGAGACAACACAGGAACTATGGCAGAACTCTGTACAATGGTCTTATATGTCTTTTTCGTTTCTTGTGATAATAGGAATATGTTTTGTTTTGTCTTGCTTTATTTTGTTTCTCCCTCTAATATAAAAAGGATAGAAATACATGTTAAGACTCATGCATGTGTAGAACCTATAAAGAGTTTATGAGAACTGATCTTATGACACATGATGAAATGAACAAATACTTTGAAGAAAAAGATACTAAAGTACCCAGTGTTGATCCCGGAGTGTCATGATATAAAATCCAGCAATACTATTATTCTTTGTTCAGAATGATTTTAGCCTGCTTTAGTTTGTTTAATCTCAACATAAATGAAGATATGCATAACTGCATGTATGTTTAAGTGTGTAAGATTGATAACCATATTTCTAAGTTTTTGTTGGATAGTTGAACAGAACTGTTTGCAGTCTTGCTGTTTTAATTCTCACTTTGTATGTTCCATTTTGTATCTTGAACAACTATTTGTAAGAGGACAGTTTGTAAACATCAACTAGTGATTTCTTACTGTTTATTTTTCCTTTGAACGTACGTACTATTTCTACCCATTTTCTGTTTTGTTTAGTCTTTAAATAAAATTTTAAAAAAGCCAAATAGATTTCTAGGAAGTTTACATTAATTCATATCTTATTAGCAATATTTTCCCCAATATTCATCATTCCAGCCATAAAACTAATGAGTATGTATCTCCTAAAACTGCAATGGAAGCACTGCCATTGTATATTGTGCTTATTAGTATGCATACACAGTATATGCTTTTGTTGGTCTTTTTGAGACAGGGTTTCACAATGCAGTTCAGGCTGTCCTTGAACACCATAAATCGTCCTGCCTCAGCTTCCCAAGTTCTGGGATTACAGACATGCATTACCACACCCGAACTACTACATGTATTTTTTTGAGGGGAAAATAGTTATTCAGAAATAGTTCAGAACCACTACTAGTCTCTTTCCTACTCTCCAACAGATTTGTTTGTGCAGGAGCATTACAATTAAAAGTTAGCACTTTAAAAAACATCTACTGACTTTTAAAATTAACTATGAATGACACAGTTATCAATAGTACAAAGATCAACAAAACTGGAAAGGAAATCAGAAAGTCAAAACTGCCATCAGGATGGCCTAAGAAGCTGTTATCAAGAAGTAGGTGATACCTGAAGGACAGCTGTAACCACTCATAAGCTAATATGATAGCTAGAAGAGCAGACAGAAAATACAAAGAATGCCAGATTCTATCAAATTGGAAGAAGTTATCAGACAATCCCCTAAAAGTATACAGAATTCAATAGCTTTACAGTTTCATTAGAAAGCCAGGCTTGGTGGTGCATGCCTATTATCCCAACAGTCTACAATAGCCTGAAGCAGGAGGACTGCCGCAAGTTCAAGGCCAGCCTGAACCACATGGTGAGTCTCAAAAAAGCCAAGTTAAAAAAGGATTGTCTTGTACTTTAAGTAACTGATTTGAAGGTAAGAATATGCAAAGCATATACTATTGTTATCCCCTAATTATTATGTTTTGAAATTTTTTCTCATTAGAGCAAAACAGGGAAACAGGCTACAATCTTATCTGAGAGAGAAATTCCTACTAAAATTTTTAGTAATTGTCAAA